TCACGAGAAGCCTTAAGTGCACGAATGCAAATACAGGTGGTGTTTTGGAATACGTAAATGAGATGTGCTGCGTGACAAAAGATTCACGGTCTTTTGCTGCTAGGGGAAGAATAGGTTTCGGCGGAGGAGTAGTCTCTTGGATGTTGGAAAATAGGAAGTCATCTTGCTGATGGTCCAAACCTACGTCTGGAGGTCGAAGCGGCTGGAGACGAGAAACAGCGACCCTAAAGTACCGAGAGAGGTAACATCTCGCTTGGCGGGAGAATCCGCCAACTAATTTCTTGGTATGCCTTCATGAGAAGGGACTTTAAGGAGGCGAAGCCGGTAACAGCAGCGCAGAGCTGTGTAGTATTGTTGTGCTAGAACAAGCAACTGATGATGGGTAGTGGGAATGGAGGAGCCGAGCAGATGAGAAAGAGCATACTGGGAGTCTGCGTAAATAGATACTTCATCCCCTAATGCTAAAGTAAAAAATCAAATCAGTTCAATGCGAGCTTTGAGCTTTCCCGTGTTGATAGATCCCGGGAGCTCCGGGAGATATTGGGTGGGGGTCGCACTGACCTTGCCCCAAGATAGGAGCCAGCCGTCAGTAACTTCGGGATGCTCCGGAAGGGAGGTGCCGGAGGTGAGCGCAAAGCCCCAACCTGCCGGATTATCAAATGAGACTGTCCGGTTATTGGGGCAAGAGCCATCTTTGTAAGCCATGATTTGTTGGGAGGTGGCCTGGCGAAGGCAAAAGCATTTTTGGTTCTGTACAGGAGGGAGGTTTCTAGTTTCTAGTTCGGTATGAAAAGAGGAGAGCTGGGTGTAGCTACATTGCGCGGTGTATCTTTAAGCGGGCGAGAGATGAATCGGGTTTTAAGAGAAGAATGAATAGGGTATGACGGGAATTCATGAGTTGTTGGAACGTAGCGCCTCAAAATGTATGACCTCGCGAAGGTGAGGAGGGGATAGGACATAATCAATAGAAATCCAATTTGCAACATCTCAGCCTGTGAGAAGCGGGTCTTGGCATGCAAATTCCTTGTAAGATACCTTTCAGTGAAAGGGGATGGAAACAAAGTCTGTGGCAGCTCTAGGCCATGGCTCTAGTAGGTCGATTGCGACAGAGTGCATTGTCTCTTTCGACTTCGGGAAGAGTTTGTCGCCTACCTACAACGTGTGGTGCGACATTAATTTGCATAGGGTCTATACTAGGGTCGAGACGGGCGTTGCAATCGCCCATAACAACAGTATGGGAGGAGTTGGGGTGATTTAATGATTTAATCTTCGAGGTCTTACCAAAACTGCGATTTTTGTTTCTGCCGGCTTCAGGGGGACAAATAGATTTTTTTCGATCGCGCAGGGCACAGAGTCTGTCGCCCGTCAGCACCGACTGCTCTCAAACTGTCTACTTTAAGGGATTGTAAGCATGCCGTTTTGGAGAAGGTTTATATATAAGGCGCCTCCAATTCTCTCGATTCTGCGATTATGGATGCAATGTCCTGAATAAAGGAGTGCTGTCCATGCGGATCGGGGAGCTGGAGTTATGAGCTGCACATATCTGCTGTAGGATGCGGCAGGGCGTCCAAGGTTACTTCACCGATATCAGAGGAGTGTGGCTTAAAGTCTCGAATGTGGGAGCGTAAGGCCGGGGAGACGAAAAAGCCAACGCCGTAGTGTATGTCTCTGGGGGTGCCTGAAAGTAGGATTTCCCAAAGATTTTGTTGGCAGGAACAAGAGGAGTTAGCTTTAGTTCCTTGCGCACAGAGGAGAGAGAGAAATTTTGTTCGTTTTACAAAAGTTCAAGATCACTTCATACTTAGCTACTTCCTTAGCTACTTCCTTGAGGCCCTCTACATTCCAAGTACTGATTTTGAGAGGGGTCCTGTAGGAAAACGTAATGACACATTGGCAGCTGAAGATCTGGTCTGATTGATTGCAGCAACAGGGAAATTTTCTGGACCGATTTCAGACTGCGTTGGAGTCTGTTGTGATTGGTCGGATTCAAGTGGATCCGGGGTGGACTGTTGTTGCCGTGCACCTTCAAGGCAACGTTTTGTTGGTGGGATTTCCACTGCCTGTAATCCTGACGCCTACGCGCTTGCCAGAGATTGTACCTGCGAGCTTGCACTTCTTCCGAGCGCTGTCCTCTTTGAGATGCCCCGTGAGCTCCGCGGGGTTGGTAGCCGCTTGGAACTATACGGGTGCTCTGGACGCTCTGGCTAGGCCAGCTTCTGGTTCATAACGTAAGTGGGGATAACGTAAGTGACTAGTTGTCGTCATCTCTGCCCATCCCAAAGGGGTTGGGCTAACTGGAGCATGAGTTGGATATGTAGAATCTGATTGTGTCCGGTGGGCTGCTGGCCGAAGGCTTTGCTTATGGACTTGAAAAAGAGGCCAGCGGCTTCCCGGCTCGCTTCTCTAGGAGGCCACTGCTCTCAGGACGTGCCCGTGTCATGCTTTGGAGCCAGATCGCGTGGTGTCTATCTCCAAGTAATGCCCTCTTCGGTGGCATGTAGCCATAGGGAGCATGCTGAAACACTGTCATTCCATTGGGCACATAAACGGAGTTGCGGCACAACAAAAAGTGTGGTTTGGGCTTATTTCCCGGGAGAAAGATGTTGCCATTAAGGGCATGGATTAGTGTATTTCATGACTATCCCCTAGGCACGTTGTATGACCTTATCGATACGAGAGAGGGCCCCGTTATTAGTGAGATAGGATCGCAAAAATCTCATTTGTTGTCTAGGCACTTGAACAATACGAGTTACAGCATGGAAGCTTGGTCTTTTTTGATGGTAGAGCGAGGAGACCCTGCAACACATTAAAGGCCGACACCCATGGACAGCACAATGGCTAACTCCCTGCCTATGCCTTCCCTTTTTGGAGCTACATTGCACCCTCGGCAATAGCCTCGTCTCCTTCGCGCACTACGCCCCCTCTAGGCCTCGAACTGACGACGCCAGCGACGACGACCACTTACGTTATAATCAGTTGCGTTATGCCCGACGAAGCAATGGTTTAGGCGCATCAAATCCAAGTTTCACCGTAGCTCGTAGCTGAAGCAGGTTAGGAAACAGTGAGGGGGCCACTAACGAGGTGAGAGCAGTGAGGGCAGCTACCGCAGTCTCACCAGTAGCTCGTGCTTTTCACCTTTTCCAGAGTACACGCCTCCTGTTTAGGGTTTTTTCGGGCTCAGGAGACCTCTGCACGCGTTTCACCCCACGGCTCACCTTGAGACTTCAGCCCCGCTCCGCACCGCACGAATGACATTTTCAGGTTTTACTCGCTGTAGTTGTTTCGAGTTTGTAGAGCGATGTTGCCTCAAAGTATAGTGCCAAAGCAACAGTCCCAGTAAACTGCTTGTAGTACAAAACGGCACGCCCGTAGGTACAAGGAGGGGCCTATCAAAGTCCCTTGCAGGAGTTGTGGCTCTCCTGCTACTGCCGCCGGAGGTTGCAAAAAGCCGGGAGGAGCTGCATCAGTGGGCAGCGCGGATTCCATGGCGTGCTCGGGCGTCAGCCCCCGCTGCCATGGCCAATTCATGGTGCTTCCTAACGTCGCCTAAAAGCTGTGATGATCCCAAGGCAAGAAAATACTGCGAACCCCTAGGGTTAAAAATTGCCTCTATAGGTGTAGGCCCTAGGGCTGTAGGTGTGACACGTGACGCATGAATGCGGTACGCAGAGCGCCGTGGCTCGCTAAGCCCACCAAAGTGGGCGTGGGGTTTCCCCGGGCTGGGGTTGTCCTGCTGCTCGAGCCTTTGCACTATTGCTATTCTGCTGTACTCTTGCTATTAGTATTCGTATTCGTGTGCGTTATAGTATTAGTATTCGTTTCGTATTAGTATTAATACTACTGCTAGTATGAGGAAACATTGGTGTTGGCATTCGTGTTCGAACTAGTATTCGCGCCAGTATCAGTATCAGTATCAGCATCAGCACTAATATCGGTGTTGTTATTATTGTAACTATGATCACTACAGTTTTAAGTTTGTCATTATTGTGATTATTGCTCATATTGTTTGTACTGTATTGCTATTGTTGTTATTTTTGTGTTAGCTACTATAGCTACTACTGTTATTAGTGTTTTTGTTATTATCGCTATGACTACTGCTATTATTACCATGGATATGGTCCACGAAACCTAGGGCAAAACAGGAACCAGAGTCGATAGAGCTCGGGCAGCGTGGATGCAAGCACGTATGTGTTGCCATGAAGCTTCAAGCCCGCAAAGTGACAGCATTATTCCACTTTACGCTAGCCCGGATACAGATACACCTTTGTCGTATCGTAGTGCCTTGACCGACTTCATTGCGCATCGGAGTGGCCAAGCATAAGCGATAATTCAGCAATCTACCAGCAGCTTCGAGCCGTCCTGGTGGCAGCTTAGCCAATTTACTGGAGGGGTCATGCTTGAAACCTGCCATGTAGATGCACTCGGCCACGTAAAGACAAAACGCAGGTTGCGTTGCCAAATCTACACATGGACCATGGTGGACCCTAAGGTGGGTAAGGGAGAGGGGAGAACCAAAGGAGGGTCCCCCCCGCTCATTCTGCTGCCACTTGTGGTGGGTGAATGCATGGTGGCGCGTGGGGAAAAGACCAAATAAAGTCCTGGACCCGGTCTTGATTCCCTACTACCTAAGTGGTTGGTAAAGGACGACTCCCGAAAGCTCCACAGAGCCAGCTTTCGTGATTATTACGTTGTCGGTCTCCTGGAAGAAGAGAAGAGAATAATAGTAATAATAATAACAATAATGATACTGCGCCAGAGGGGTGGCAACGAAAAAAACGTGCCGGCCGCAGGAGGCTACCCATTGTTCGTTCGCGTGCTTCTCGATCAAAGCCGAACCCTCATTAGGCAAGGGCGTTGGATCGCATAGTCCATCGGCGGCCATTACATGTGCACATACGTACCTTGCAAGTACGTACCTTGGGAAGTATGGACGTGTGTGGCCGGGTGAGGGGCGGGCAGGCTTACTGGACTTTTAACTAGAACGACACTAAGAGCAAGACTTCCTCACGGAGTTCTTCCACTGGCACATTGAGCATTGCTCCTGGTGTCAGTGTGCCTCAAGATCAGGAGTCGCGATTCTTGGCCGACTGAAGTAAGTCTTAACAGGCACTAAGTCACTAAGCTCCTGGCAATCTCGGTTCGCCCTGTATGCCTTGCAGCGGTCAGTTGTGGCAGGCGAATCTACATTTGCCAACTGTTCTGCACACCACTATGACAGCAAAACGTTGTGAAAATTGATACAAACCGATAAGTGATCTGATGCCATAGCACGAAGACTACCCGAAATAGATACTGGGTGTCGTGTCGGCGGGCACCAGCCCGGCAAGTGTGGTGAAGGGAAAGAGCCACTTTTCTTTCAACTCTCTGAATTGAAAGGTACCACACGTGCCGAGGTTCGAGGTAGCGCAAGTAGCACATGCTACAAGCAGCACTTACGGCAAATGCTTCCCTTCGACATGCCACGAAGCGTGCTGCACGGAAGAACAAGCTTCCACGGGCACCTCTGCCTCGTGAAAACTCATACATGACTCAGCTGCAGCAATAATAACAATCCTGGCTAGAGCTACCGACCTGTCCAAGGACGGCTTGCAAAGGGATACCATCCTCCAATGACTCCACCTCTGAACAAGAAGCTCCACATGCTGCCACCGAAGTGAATCACCAGTCGGCGACGTCTCTGCTCGGCTCCCGGCCAGCAACTCTTTGGTTACATATGGTCGCACGACCTGCGATCAGGAGCTTCGAGACATTCGGTAGGCAGTCATAAAACATGGAGGGGAAAAGCGAATCAAGCAATTTGTAGAGCTACAAGCCACGGCACCATGAGATACCAGATACCATAAGCTTGTAGATACGAACAATTGACACACGGTTTCACACAGACTGCTGTGCAAAAGTTCAACAAATAATGCTCGATTCGGATTCATGTGACTTTTAACATTCCGCCAGCATGTGTCCGGCCCAGGTCAGAGAAAGCAGCCACAGACGGAACGCAATTCAAGATGCCTGTTGGCTGTGCAACCTCGGAACATTGACGGCGCAAGCACAGGGTTTGTAGGCAGAAATGCCAGCATGCCGCACCGGGGTCAGAAGCTCTTCAGAGTCAGCAGTAATTACCCAAAACTCTTGCGGGTGCCACTTTCCCGAACTATAGACCCTGCTGCATCAGGGAGTCTGCAGCATCAGCAGACACTGTTCCAAGCGGGCCAGCAATGGCCACTCTGCCACGTCGAAAACTGCCAATCCTTCACTTTCGTGGCACCATCAGCATCACCGGCAACTGTAGGCCTTCGAGACGTTTTTAGGCATCGGTGGCATAAGTGACATTTGTCGATTTTTCATGCTTGCCCGCATGCCCACGATCTCAGTTTTCAGCATGTTGCTCCCATGCCCCGCCGTCGAATAAAGCAAGCACAGGCAAGCCCTCTACGGTAAGGCAACACTCTGCAATGAGACCTCGGTACAAACGAACACAGTTGGAAAACGTTGGCAACTTCCAATGTCCTTTCTCCGGCCTCAGGGAATCTGACTCGGTGTCCTCTGCCCGTGCGACGGTAGGGGAAGTTCTCATTGAAAACGTCCAAGTTGTCGGCCTCTCTCACGCTTTAGCACAGTCGCGCAAGCCCCACGTGACAACTGTTGAAGCTCACAGGCAGGCCTCGATTCGCAGATCTGCCTGAAGCATCTACCATCAGACTCAACCCCTTGAAATAATCGGCCCTGCCTGGGGTCGAACAAAGGCCTCGAAGTGCGTGACTGCCTCTGACCTGCAGTTACACGCACTGCACATGGCTCACCGCCAAGGCACTGCTGCAGAAATTGGACTGCTAGCGGTCGGTCACTGCCGGCAATTGCTGTGACTCTCGTGCTCAGGCGCTGTCAGAGCAAGGTAGCGCGACTTTGGCCATGCTGCCTGCAGCAACAAGCAGTCTGCAAGTGGCAGTAACGAGGCTGCAAACGGCCTCGATGAGTCCGACAAGGAGCCACATCACCTGGTGACATCCAGCGAGACAGTGCAGAAGAGTTTCGATGCTCGTTTTGCGCCAGAGGTGCGATGACACCTCTTTTCCTTGAAGCTGCGTCCCACTGTGGTGGACTCGGGAAGTGCAAAGGAAGGCCGTCTCGGGACTCAAATTCCACTGGAACCCATAGCTTCCAACGTAGCAACCCGAGAGCGAGCCCTTTGCATCCTCCAGAGCCAGGGTCGTGCGAGTCCCAACTTTGATCACCCTTCAGGGTGTCAAGACTGTGTGCGACAACGCCAGAAAAGCACGTCTCACTGCTGCAGCGACTTGCTGATTCTCAGAAGCGCTGCAGACAAGGCAACCTCATGAGCTGCGAAGAGCTGCGAATGCCACTGCATGCTTAAGAAACTGCCATCAGAAAGGCCAAACTTGTGAGCCAGGGTAGACAGCATACAGTGTTTAAGTACATTGACACGAAGACACCGTCCTCCCTGGAGTTGGGCCTGATGCAGGAACGACTCGCCCGTGTGGCGGAGAAGAAACACGGTGGCTGATGAAAAATGTGAGGAACTGAGAACTCTTCCAGAAGCCCTCAGCTTTGCTCGAGGAGCCTGGAACCCTGGCTCTCAGTTTTTAATCTAATACAATCGCCCCTCCGAGGCTCAAAGTAAATCATTCCCGACACATCGTCATGAACTCCTTGAAATCGATCTCTGCGTCTCCATTGAGATCAAGATCCTTCAACGTCTGAACCTGCGCACAGCACCGCAGAACCTGCCTTGTGTCCATCTACGAGTCTCTTCACCAAGACCATGGCCAGTTCAGTGGCTTGAAGATGGCCAAGCAGCCTTCCTGCAAAGCACGGCAACAGAGGAGAGCGCGAGCAATCTCTCAAATCTTCTGGGGTACCCAAATTTAGGCCCTGGCCTTCCGCTAGCTCACCTGACTAGAAGCGACGAAACAAGCGCTCACAATAACACACAACACAGTTTGACAGATCACGCAACGTAGAGACAATGCCGCCGCCTTCCAAGCCCTGCTAAGTCAACCCGGCACTGGCAGCAAAGAGGCTCAGCTGTATGCAGCCATCTCCGTTTTTGTCGAAGCCTTAGCCGGAATATAAACGAAACCCCAAATCAGAGCAGCGTGCAGAGTGCAAATTCCCTGCAAGTCGACAGGGAAGGCCACATTGGACGGTCGGAATGTCACCCAGCAGAAGCCTACGACTGACTGCACCCGGCACCCGAAGGTGGTATCTTGCGCTGATTCCAACACGGAGCACATGCTTTCCCTGCGGTGCAGTACGCACCACCTGAAGCTACTTAACTGATTGTGTGCGTGTTCATGCGTCTGCGTCTCGATGTTTACGCGTGCGCACTGTCCTCAATCATGGACACAGGGGTCACTCCAACATGTCCGTGGATTGATGAAGCTTTTAGTCGTTTGTTAGCCTGCCGAGCAGCTGTTGAAGATGACCTTGCCGACTTTTTCGGTGAGACATTTCTTGCGATTGAAGGTAGCCGCGACGAACTCTGTGAATGTGAAGTCCTGAGAGCAGATGCAACATCTTCTCGTGCTGGCTCACAGATGGGGCTACAGCCTGAGTTCTGGGTTTATGCTTAGATCTGAAGACCTGCGAGCCGGCATTCGCCAGCCAAAAACATCGGACTGTGGGGAATGCGAAATGCTTACCTGCTTGCGGCATATTCTTTATCTGTCTGAGAATGAGAAATCCAGGTTTTGCTGATGCCACCTCTGGACGCATCCAAAGCCTGACAACCTTTCCACCTGCTCAAAGACCTGTCATGCCTCCTACGAACAACAATTGTACAATCGGACTACTCGCAACCGGTTGTCACTGAAAAGATGCGACACTCGATGCAACAAGCAGCACATGCATAAGAATTCACATGGCGACACCGGCCTGAATGGCTTCCTCGTGGCCATCAGCTTTGAAAATCTTGATCGCATCTTTCTTCTTGATGGACTAGCAGGTCAAGCAGGATCTGCACTCTGCTCCACGCAGCCTGAGTAAGCAAAGCCTGCCTTCTGACCCTTCGATCCACTTGCTGTTGCCTGCATGTCAATAGCACCATATAGCAGCACATGGCCAAGATGAGGCGGAGCATCAGTACATTCTCGCAGCCTTCGAGAGCGCCACCAGCTCCGACATGGACACGAAGCCGTTGCAGTCGTCGTCCATCGCCTCGGGGCCACAGACTCTTTGCAAATGCACAAAAGATCGCCTCGGGCCTTGGGCCGAGCCACCAAGAAAAGCTGCCTGCTGGGTCCGACCTCTGCCTCGCCCAGCATGCACGCTGTCCTTGGCGATGTCTTTAGCCGCACTCCGAGTCTCTGAAAAATCCATCGAAAACGCATATATGCAGCCAAGGCGCATATTCAAACAAGCTCTTTTGAACTTGTTCAGAGATCTATAATTCTTTAGCCCTTCAATGTGCTTATCCTCCTGAGCTGTCAACACAACCTAGCAACGAGAACCACCGCACATGCATTAGTCTGTACATGAACTACCTGCTGTCAGCACGAAGTGGCAACTCAGCCGCCAACGATCACACCAACTGGCAGTTTTGGCGCAATCTTCGTTATGAAGGGATGCTCCAGAGCCTCCCGGTGGTGGACTCAAGTGCACATATCCTTTCTGCACTCACGGCATGCACAGAGCTTTAACTCCGATGAATAGCCTGCCTTCTTGCAGTCCAACCGCTGGGAAGCATCTTTCTGCAGCATTGCAGTTACGATGTTCACCACGTCCTGAAGGCGAGTCAGGGTTGCCAACACCAAGCGCCAGCTTCAGAAGTGCTTATCTCAAGCTCAGGTGGTACTGTCGTACGCTGTGTCCTGACCGGCATTCACCCATGCCTCAAGCTGAGAAGATCAACCACTGGCTCAACGCTCCAAACCGGTGGGATGCAAATTACATGCGCAAGTTCCTTGTAAGCAGCCTATCTGACAGGTCATAGCAAGGGGAGCGATGAAGTCTGCTTGAGTATGTGCCGCTTCTAGCCTTGTCACGCTTCAGTGAAGCTGGCCGCGATGATTAAGGCAAACCCCTTGCTGTCCGGGGATGCTTGTCAGCAGATATGAAGTGGTGACAATGATCTGCTTTTCAAACTCTTGCTGCCAAGGAGCGCTGGACGAGAACTGGAGACGAGCCTTCGCGTTGTCTTCGCTCGGCCCAGCCTGCCAGAAAGTCCATGTGCCACAAGAGCCAGTTCACGAAAACGCAGGAAACAGAACAACAATCTGTTTCCTGCCTGTCCAAACGGTAATCGTCGCGACCTTGGTCTCGAATGCTGCAGGTTGCAGAGGGTTCGAAAGCATTTCGAAGTCGATCTTAGAAAACAGGAACAACAGGCGTTCCTGGAACATTAGCACACCTGTACTGTGCGTTCCTGGCCTCCCTTGGCTTCGCACACCCATTTGGCATGAACTTTTAATATGGCTGCTGCAAAAATATTCCTTTTTACTCTTTTCTGAACACTCTCGTGCGCGTATGGATATTGGTTACATGTGTAAGCGCCTGGGTAAACGTGCAGCTTAACATACATGCATACATGCATGCATGCATACATACATACATGTCCACGCATACATACATACTCACGGACAGACAGACAAACAGACTATATATATATAGCTGCTAGCTAGCAACGACCGACGGCTGATGGATTGACCGGCACACATATTGACTGCACGATGGAATGCGCGAGATACCGACCGGCGGACCCAAAGAAAGGTATCCTGCCCGACGGACCACCGACTGACACCATAAGGAGCCCTGGAAGCACAGACCAGCATGGCTTTTTTCAGAATACACCCGGATATTCCGATCAGTTCAAGAATAAGCTGCAACCATCTTCAATGTAGCCAAGACTCATCATCCAGTAAAGCATGATTCCGACGCTCCAAATGTCGACTTTCCTTAGCACCAGCTGTTGCGACAACATTCTCAAACACCCTTGCTTCGACATGCGTAACGCAAGCGCATGCAGGGACGCATATTTGACGATGACATGACTGGAGCAGCGCCGCAAGAATCATCATACTGCACTAGTGCCACGAGGATGCACAGGGGCTTCCTGCTGCTTTCCATCAAGTCGAGTCGTGTGTGTTTGTCGTTGGTTTGCTGCTGGTCAAGTGAACGAAGACTCGAGAAGAAGGCCACGAAATCCAAGGGAAGGAAGCGCAGCAGGGAAGGGACCGGGCGACTTGCCCAGCGAATCTATTGCCGCACAGCAAATCGAATCACTCGAGCGTGGCGGAGGCTTGGCATGATCATGTGATGCCATATAAGTGCAACTTGTCCTGGGCGTGTTGACGTGCTCAGAGTAGTCGAGGCAACACTCTGGCTTTGCTACATGCTGACAGTTGTGCGAATTTCGCTTGCAAAAGAAGCAGAAAGCTGGTTGAAACTAGTGCCGGTCTTGCAGGGTCGAGGATGTCGAGACCACTCTACACAGGCATTCTAAACATGATGTGGGGGGGCGGGGCCCCTCCTCCAACTTATACAATGCCGCAGCACCTTGTGGTGGGAACAGGAGTGCCTTAGGTGATTCTGAATCAATCATTGGCGTGGTGGCTTGTTAAACAACCTAACAAGCTCCTAGACGCGGTTCTGACGTTTTTCTAGGACTGAGTTGAATTGGTAAACGACGTAAACGACAGCTTTCGTGACTTTCACAGACAGCCCGTCCGAGGCCATCGCTCCGAGTAGTTCCTCGTGAAAACCTTCCGCAAGAAGGGAGAGAGTAGATGAGAGGAGAGTCCGAGTCCAGCTACGGGACGGGACGGAGGGTCATCTTTGGCTCTGCACTCCGTCGGCCTCTGGTGCCATGTGGCTTGGCGTACCACACCTGCAACGACAAGCAAACCAACACCCAGGGCTTGTCAAGCACTGTCCGTGGTCGCTGCCTCTGAGACAGGGCCACGCCCTTGGTGAAGTGGCACGACAAACCATAATCACCTAAGCTGCGAAGAGCATTTGGGAATGTGCTTTCTGAAATCGGATAAGGAGACCATGCACCACGACACAGTCGCTGCGAGAGCACATGTTATTCAAACCCACCCACACACACCTGCACACACAAACACGCGCTCTGGTTCAGCGACAGTCATGCCAATCCGCTGAGCGACAAATCAGGCGCATCGAGATGCAGAGGAAGAAAATTCTTGAAGTACGTCTATCCATTAGCAACACTCGGGAGCCAGCCTTCATCTCATGCTGAGTTGCTGAGTTTCACTGCTTGTCGCGCATCTAGACCGGTTGGGAGCAGCAGCAAGCAATTGGGAGCTTTGATGTCCCGGTGAATAATGCCCTTGCCTTGGATAAAAATTCGCCTACATTCTGTCACAGCTGTCAGATCTGCGGCACGCTCAGCCAGAGAAGGTATAATAAATTATGACCAGGAAGCCATGCAGATATCGCACGGCAGACATGACATGCTTGGTGGCGAGGGCTGCCTGCACTTCCGGATGCCAGCATACACTGGCTGCCACTGAATACGATGAAATTGCGCCGCGGCAGGGCAGTGCGCAGCCAGTGCCATGCAGAGGCATGCCTGGCCTCGCTTTCCTTCAGATTTCCATGCTTCTCCACCTGGGCTTACTGGATCTTCCCGACTGCAAACAGCGGCTGCGTGCCGAACACCAGCTGCATCTGAGATCGGCACGTAGCCTTCCAGCTCACCACCACTGCAAAGCTCCAGAACCTGAGATCTCATGTGAAAGCGGAAGCAAGTTGCAAGCACCGACACCCTGCACTCAAGTACTCCAGAGTTCGCCACCAGAGAAAGCGTGTCAGAGTCCTCGAAAATCTCGAAAAGAGTGACAACATTGGGGTGGTCTAGCCTCGGTTGAGAGCACATCACCTGATTGCCGGGCTTACACGACATCGGCTTCCGAAAGTGCAGGAAGATGCCCTGCAGACAACGGGCAAGGGGAGTACCCTCTACACACTGAAGCTTACCAACCTCTGTGCATGACGACGGCCCAATGAGGAACTGAAGTCCATCCGAGGTGCATTTTCATGACTTCAATCCTGGCAGAGTGGTGAGCGAAATGGTGCCGCGACAGAGCTCATCGCACAATGTCAACTAATTCAGCTGGAACTGTGGACAACCAACACGAAAGCCAAGATGCTCAGCTTTCAATAGGCCAGGGTTGTTTTTGTCCTGGGCTGTCAAAAGCCCGTATTGTCCACTGGAAAACGAAAGCAAGCCACCGGGTCATGTAAACATGTCTTTGTCTAGAGATCAGAAAGATACCGTCAGAATGGAATGGTGTAGCACACCTTTGACTGTATCAGGCCATACTTGAGGTATGCATGCCTGTTCTGTGCCCCTGCTTCTCTCGTGTGCACCAAGCGATGGAGTATTGTTCGCATGCTACCCAGCAGCTGACTTTGAAATAATCTTCACTGCCCGTTTGGCACCGGTGACTCGCACCGTAGCGCGGCGGACTTCCTTAGCCACGATGGTTTTGCCATCGTGCAACACTGAAGCCAAACTGTGGCTCTTTCTAGCTCAGGGCTACCTTTGCAGTGACCTCCTCACTTAGTAGTACGGGTTTAGGGTCCGGTAGTGTAGGGTCTCCACTTTCCCGCGATTAACAAAGAGGATCCTGCTAATAATGTGATAAGGGAAGGGACGATGTGGCACATTAGTCGGGGCAAACCACGGCCGAAACCTGCAATACCAAAGACTTCCCAGCCCCTTGGCGACCGACTGCGAAGCCGCCCTTGCCCAGTGCAACAGGCTCCACGTCGTAATTGTCGGCCAACTGGCCTAGCCCAACTGCAACCATGGATGTGGTGACGAAATAACTAGGGAAGCCGCATCATGTCAAATGCAGACACAAGACTAGCAAGTACAAGCATGTGTGTATGCCTGTGCTCTGCCTGCCTCGGTTATCGGGCACCACGAGCAAGGCAGCAGAGGGAACAAAACCCATCCTGAGCAAGATTGCAGACACGTCTCACACGAGGTGCAGATTGGAAGTGTTGGCTTGAGGCCAGTCTCGTGTCTGTCATCTTCAGCTTCTTCAACCCTTTCCGATTCGACTTGCGACCTCAACGACATCAGAGGCGATGGACTTGTATGACTGGTCACAGCGAAAGTGATACTCGCGGCGAGGAAAGTCCGTGGCTGATAGTCCCTTCCGACTTTGGACTAACAGCTGAGCTGGCACCTAAGACGGCAAATCTCACCGCGCAGGCGGGCACGGATCGGTCAGAAATCTCAGGCACCGCTTGACACAGCGCTGTACGCATCGTCCCCCATATCCGCATCTTCCGCGACATCACTCATTTCGCTGGTGCCGGACATGCCAGCGTCGCTTGCCTGCCCGCAGGAAAGGGGACCCGGACAAATATGAGAGATGAGACAAAGCTGTGGCTCAGTCAAACTCGACTAAAAAGATAGTTGAAGCCCTTGGTGGTGGCCGAGGCTTTTGTGAAGCGGTTGATTGAAGAATGGACTTGTGCGTGTCGTGCTCCTCAGACGTGTTTTGGTTAAGATTGGAAAGACTGCACAGGCTCCGAGAGCTTTTCAAGTTAGGGTTGCCAAAAAAAAGACCTGCAGACAATGCAGGCGTAACAGAGCTCACGATGCCGAAACCTCCAAAACATGTTGAACCCGGGCTGTTATTGACCCGGTCCGTAACCCCAAGATGATGCAAGACCTTCGAGCAAGGCCACAGTATATCCTAAGCATGTTGTAGACGCTGCTCCGGAGAGCACGCCACACCGTGGTGTGATAAAAGCCTTGCAGGCCTCATCTTCGTTTGCTTCTCCACCCTCATCTTTGTTCTGCAAAAAATCATCAGCCACCTCGGAATTAACAGGAGAGCATCCATGGCTGTTGGTTGAGATATCTGGGCTCCCCCGGCCGTTGCATTGGTCTTGGACAGTGGCGACAAAGCCTCCACGACAAGTGCAAACTGGAAACAAAAAGAAGCAAGCAAACGTCTTCGAATGCGACCTGTGGATAATCTGGATCGTCTGCGACGGTCTCCGGCTCGGGCTCGAAGGCCTGCATCGCAATGGCACGACTCTAGTTGCCAATTCAGGGAAGAGCACAAGCGGTGGTAAATCAAGATCCGCTGCCTCGCGCTGCACAACAAGATCTTTCTCCTGACAATGGCAGTTTCCCATGGCCTCCAGGCGTGCGGTAAGGGATGGTTGCACATCGATTCGGCACAAGAGCATAAAACTTTCTTCCCAGACAAACTGTGGTCGGGCTAAAAGCTGCATGCGCACTCGTTCACATCAGGTTGCCACACTGCTCCATCTTTGGCCCCTTGGGCCCAAGGGCTGGTCTCGGCCAGAACACAAATTATCAGGCGCAGTCTGCAGCCGCGATATGGTCTGCCAACCCTGCTTTCAACTCCCGCAGATGCACACCACGACTCAGGACAGCGTGTCTGTATCTGGCTGCACAGATTGCCATTTTGGAATCTTATCCAAGAAGACTGACGTTGCCATCTTCTCATCGTCTCAAAATTTCCTGACCTGGTTGTGGTATGGTCCGATCGCACCGGAACCAGCGGGACAAAACCGGAGGGACAGATTGTGTTGAATGACGCACTCCAACGGGCCGTCCGTCGCTCTGTACGTCTGGGATCGTCTGGGCGGTGAGGTGACACCTGAAAAAACCCGCGAAACTGCACCAAGCAGAGAATCAACAACTGAACGGCACAGGATATGTCTCTTTCCGCAGGAACCTTGCCAGAAACGGCCTGTGTGGTGTGCTCAAGATTCAAGATGTTTCGGGCTCAGCTTTGAGGGACACGTCAACTTGACAAATCTTGCAAGGAGAAAACTCCAAACCCTGCAATGTCCGCACGAAAAGCATACCGTCGAACAGGTCTGGGAGGGTTCGCAGGGTTGGAGTCCGGGCACCAACGAGTGTGCGACCCGAAAACTGACAAGTGCACCGGCAACACTTGGAGCACTTCAAGTGGTCGGCCCGAACGGCCGCTACTCCCAGTGTGCCACCTCTGCGTATTTTCCGTCTCCTAGTCAGCAGTCGCAGACAGGAGCCCCCACATCACAGAGGTGGCACGAGGCTTGTGTGGGAATGCATCAGCACATCGTCGACGATCACGGCCATCCAGAAAGTGTGATGAAGAATGCCAGCGGACCCATCCAAGGGCAAGTCAGCATGTAGTTTGCAAACGAAGCTGCACCATGCTGGGCAACCGAGCATAAGAAATTTGCACAAAGGTCTTGCGTGGCACACGCGGCCACTTCGAAGGTGTGAAGGCTTGTAACAACATGCAACTTAGACAAAGCGATACTACCGAGTGTTAGTGGTAACTCCGACCAGGGCATGAGAAACACCGCGTGGGAATTGCCAAAGTGTCGAAGCTGCACGCAGGACGTGAGAGGAATCTTGTCGGACGAGTTTGGTCAAGGTTTACAATTCTGGAATCACAAGACTGGTCAGCAACACGAGACTCGGAGGACGCGACTTATCGAATCATGCCCTCATCAATTCAACTGCCAGCAGTAAACATGTGCACATTGATGCAAACGTGCAACACACCGACATGTCAACACGTGCGCTCAAATCACTGCCTCATACACCTTCTTTCGAGACGACGCAATCAGATACACACGCTTCCCGATGCCCGCCTGTGTCGAGGTCAGGCTGCGGCATCGGGAAGCCAAAGCATGCTGTGAAGCGAAGATGTTGATCTGACGAGTGCTGAGGTCTCTGGCTGCCAGCTGCGGAAGGAGTATCACTCTACTTAAATCCTTTGACCTTCTAGGTAAACCTGCACGTGTTCCTTTCCTGAGCCCGGCCAGCAGAGTTAGTGATTCGAGGCCACGGCAACGGCCCAGCGCAGCGAGTCACTTGCAGCTTGCAGAGAAATCATGCAAGCAGGTCCTCCAGATCAAGATCCACTTTGTCCTGCACGGACTGTTTCTGAGTGTTGCAGCCCGGAGTGTAGGTGGTGTTTTCTCTGCTTTGCACATACGTGTGGTGACAGTGGTCGCTGTTTCGGTATGGTTGCCTTTGGATGCTTTGTCTTTAGCTTCGGTCGCGACAGTCCTGAGCACCTGGATGCAGCACCTCCGGAAGTTTCTCAGAAAACACTTCGCGCTTTCCCTGCCCACGCTCTGCCTTGACTGCCACATCACGGGACCGAGGCATGGCCTCGCACTGAAATCTCAACTTCGACGCTTGTCTGCACTCTCTGCGCTGCTAGCCAATAGCCCTCGCCTTCTGATCTCTGCACAGGGGACCTTCAGTCCCACATTGCATGGGAGCTTTCATCGTCTCACAGGCATGACGAGTGGCTTCTGAAGATCCTGGTGCCAGGCCAGACAAGCGTCCCTTGTATACCTGCGCCATGCAGCCTGAGCCCAGGGGCTCTGAGTCCTGACACGGCACCATGGCTAGATCCTCAAGCCCCAGTCGTCTCCTCTTTTTGCAAGACGGTCTCAGGGCAAGGCCAGCTGCAATGAGCCCTCCCATGTTGGTCCGAAAGTCTTTGTAAGAATCCTCGCAGCTGACCAAGCTGCCAAACAGCCACGCGGCCCGTCAGATGCGAGCAATCTCCTCTTCGTCTGATTGAAGCTGTGGGGCTTGACATTCGCCTGCAACACGATTGAACAATCTCGCGAGGAGCAGAGGAACTGAGTCTGAGCATGGCACCTGCAACGGAGAGAGGTTGTCGCAGACCTGCGCTGCTAGTTATATCTCAACAACGCTCAACGATGAGGGCAGGTTCGGAATGAGACGGCGGCACGTGCAGGCAAAATATCCGGCCGGGTTGATGCCCATTGAGCAAACTTGATGGCAATGGGCCCTTCAGCCTGAGCACTTCGAGGTCTTACAAGTCTGCAGAAGTGCAGAAACGCGAGCACCAGCCTGAAGAGCCCCCAAGATCAGTCTCCACATGAGCCTGCGAGATGACAAGTCACTGGAGTGAGCTGCGCACATGGACAAATCTGGAAGTATTGTAGTCGCTTCTACTTCCGCCACCTTGGTGCACATTGCCTTGATGAAACCGCTATTGGTTGTCTTCCCTGGAAACCCTTACTTATCTTAACAGGCTACTTCAGATATGACGCCTCTCTTCTCTCTGTTGTATAGCTGCAGGAAGCGCTTATGTCCAACGCTGTTCTCGGTAAAGGGTCATCATCAAATTTCCAAGTCGTTCGGACAGACAGGACAGCATCGTTCAGGACTGCGACCGCAATTTATCAAGGCCTTGCAAGGCCCTGCAGCTACCCAGTACGGAATCCAAGTAAAGTCCAGACCGTCTGCCCCGGACTCTGTGAATTCGTTGTTCCACCGTCTTCGTTCAAGGTCTGTGCAGAAACTGCGTGTAGATATGCAAACACATCTCAGTAAAGATTGGCAGCCGACTTAATTGATAGTACAGAGGTTAGAGGATTATAGGCTATACTGGATTGTGAGGAGGGCTCCAAGGATTGTTATGCAGTTTCTGAGGAGCCCACAGGAAAATCTGTTTCGAGGTACTTTTGGGCATGATAGACTGATGTACCGTAAGCAGTAGAAACACCCGAACTTATCAAGCATGCACAAAGTATGCCGCATCGATAGTGTGTGTGTGTAACAAATACGTGTATGCAACATATTGAAAGTTCATTGTGGTGCACGGGTGACGTACGTATGTATGCAGTAGCATGAACGAAAATATCGAGAAGATCCCAGACCAACGGACCAGGGCCAGAGGACCGACGAGCAGACAACCGGGAAGCCAGAAGACCAGGAGAAGACCAGGAGACCGAGACCAGACAACCAGCAAACACGGACATGATAAAATCATGAGACCAGGGGAAACAAGCCAATCACTGTTGAATAAATTAGGCACACTCTCTTTGCAATTCCCAAGGAAAGCGCAATCTTGGGACATTGAGCCCAGATTGCGACATCATGAGCTGTGAAACCGTGGTAAGCAAAGAGTCACAGTGTAACCGCAGCGTTGGTGCAAACATGGACGACTCCCCCTCGAAAAGCAAAAATCACGACAACCCCGACTCCTGACCATCGAACCAACAGGCCACCACGGACAGACCTTCTTTTGGATTGTATGAAAACGCATTCGCGTCGGGTCCGTTGCATTCGCCAGTACTAGGCTAGCCGGTGCCGCGACGGAGACGCCTTTAGCTACCCGGCAGCCGCTGCCCGCCAGCGAGTGAGGACCCGATAAACCGGGACAACCAAAATTCCAAAACTGGGTGGAGAGGGTGGGAGCTGACAACGCCGGGCGACGCAAAGCCGGCAGATGCTGCAGCATGTGCGTCAATGCGCCGTGGTTGTCCCTACGCACATGAATGTGCTACACAACAACAGACACAAGACGTCCTAGAAGGAGTTTGAAACTGCAGAAGCCCATGCAGTCTCGTGCATTCGTCGAATCTGACTCGCAAGAGCCTATAGCACAGCAACAAAAAATCAGGCTCCTCCAACAAAATCGCCTGTCTTATGGAACTGCTGCATCTAGCAACATACAACCTGTTCTTTGCCTTTCTATGGCCTTAAGTCTTAAGCAACATGCAACTTCGGAGACAGACCTCCTGAGTCGGCAAGTTAACTTCTACCCAGCTGCGGGACAGGCAAAGTCGGAAACGTGGGATGGCATGCAATCGTCGGATGAAGAAACCTCGAACCGCAGTGTAAGCAAAGCGGCCTCTCTCCACCCCACTGCCAGCACAGCCAACACCACGGCCTCAAAGAAAATTAGGAAAGTGTCTTTCATAGCCCTTAAGACGCGTTCCTTGACATGCTTGGAGAACCGTCGCTTGCTAAGTACAGCAGTCCGGACCTTAAAGCGATCAGTATGTTGTGACTGCAAAGCAGCCAAACCGACCACAGGAGTGTTGCGACTCCGTTCGTCAAGCAGTATAGCGGTCTGGCACGACTGTGTCGTTCGCTTGCATGAATTCGGCATTCCCGGAAGGAGCGCGACTCTAGTCACAAGTCTCCACGGCAATCAATGAACATGAACCCTGAAGATCCCAAGCTCTTCATCCAAGGACTCTGCGCCAATGCAGCCAACGGAACAGCACGAAGGCAGACTTCCAGACAGCGCAGCATGACCTGTCCAGGGCACTCATGATGCACTCATGGATGCTCTGCACCCGGCCTTCAGACAATGCCAGAACCTCGACAGCCGTGTCCGAAGCGGCCTGAAGAGCTGCGATTAGATAGAAACGACACGTAGTTCTGCATCTGTCAAAGTTCTGAGTGCAACACCGGATCGCTGAGATCTTACCATCTCCACGACGAGCAATTGGGCCCTCCATTGAAGACAAACACAGGAACATCAAACAGCGCCAACATGCGCCAACAACACCCGTTACATGACAGCACGTCGTGCCTCAACTTGAAGGCTTTGACAATCTGATCGAGGATCCTGCGGCATGCAAGCGCCGTTCATCATGCCGCGTAACATGAACTCAATGAAGGAACACCAGTCTGACCAGTCAGCACTTCTGTAGCATTAGCGTTAGCAAAAGCAACTCTGACACAGCAACATGACGGTTATCAGATCGTCGAAATTCGCCATAAATCAACACAGAATGCCTTGTGGCCCCCGAAACGCCATCAATGTTTCGAAAAGCCTTCGGCCTACTTGAAGTCTCGCAAACAAAATAAACAAATCGACACGGGTTGAACACCTCCGGCCTTCAGTCTAGCTACCGTCGGCCAATGACGCGAACATGTGAACCAGACCAGATCCCTCGGCCAGCATGCCTCTTCAGTTCTTACCGGAACAGGTGCTTAACAAGCCTTGCTTACAAGCCATGGCCAATCAAAGTGGTGCCCGCTCGACTTGAAAGATGAGTCCTTCTTGAAGGCGAATGCCTCAGAGACGACTTGAAGAGCGGTTTGGCATGCCTTCACTTGGGCCTTGGGAGCCCTGCGCCTGCGCCTGCCCCAAGCGCTACCGGCCGCAATCCTCGAGTTAGCCTGATACGGGCCGGCGTGGAAACAAAGGCTTCGTCATGGAAACGAACACCTACATACTCTTGCATCCAAACCACCTGAACCGAAGGCCATACTTGACAGCGGAGCGCAAGTCGCGATTCAGGAAGGAAGTGTAGAGGAGCATGTGGCTCCAAATGCCATGCTGCCAATGCTGCAGGTGATGCAAGTCGGATGTCCGACGAATCTCAGAGCTGTCACTCAGCTTCCTCTCGACTGGAGTAACTGGAGATAACACAACAAACTAGCTTCGCGACTCTGTCATTAAAGTACATAAAAGCACAAGACTCAGGCTTGGCTAGACTTGGTTCCAACTGTGAGCTGCGGCAAGTCACAGTTCAGCTGCCGTCCTTACAACCGGTATTGACCGGTGCTCCCGGATCGTTCCGCACTTTTCGACTGTTCGTCGATGCTTCGGTGCTGTAGTGCCGCTGGCCTCAGCCCGACAACTCTGTCACTCTGCTGCAACATACCTCATCGCTGAGTGCAGTTGTATCGCACACTGACGGTCTCTACATGCTGCACTTGTGCTGTGAGCTCGCAGTGTGAAACCCGGTCCGTATCAAAACTGCACTGTGCTAGTACTATGAGAGCTGACGGCGCAGAAAAGCTGCACACGCCAACTTCAGCAAGCGGAGTCTGAGAACGCCCTGCGCAGTGGCTGGGAAAATGGGACCGTCTTCCCTGTGTGAAAGAGATCAGCATTCGTAAGCTTGGCTCTTGGGCTCTCTGTGCAGAAAAGTCGCAGGCCGTCGACAGAAACAGAGTCCGAGCAGTCTCTCCACGCGCCTGGAGCAAAGGCACTGAGCATGGAAAGTGGAAAGCCAAACACGGCAGCAGCCCGCAAAGCCCGCTTCCTTTTTCCCTTCCCTTCTTCGGCCTTGCATCTGCAGAGCCTGCGGAAAACAACACATCAGAAACAACACATCACTCAACACACACTCATGGCTCAGACGCGCTGCTCGGACCTCCTTGTCACGGGATGGGAGACTCGCTCTCGATCCATCAACTCCGGGAAGGCTTCCTTGCTGCATTTCAACACCTATCGACCTATCCTATCCTCTGATGCAGGCATTGGACTGTGACAGAGAAGGCTCGGCGGCTCGAGAAAGACAGGCTGCCCGCTTTGGCCGCCGTCCGCTGCGACGGGTAAACCTTGTCAGAAACCTGCAGATGCTGCTCGTAGACAACTTCCGGGATCGTAGTCGCGGCTTTGTGGTCTGTTTGCGGTCTGAGTGCATCCACCTCACATCCAAGTGTCAACCCTTGCAAAGGCCTCACCTCATGACCTCGAAACAGAATCTGACCCGAGCTCAGCACCGACAAGTTCATTGCCAAGAACTGGTCAAGGGAGGGACATGTTGTCAAATTTGCAGAAAGCTACAGTAGCGCGACATGCATCTGTGCATCCACCTGCGGAGATCTGAGTACCGTTGCCAGCGGACTGTCACCTCCATTAAAATTTATCATTCACAAGAACGTCTCGCTACAAGTACCCGTGAGCCAAAAGAACGACGTCCCATGAGTGCCCCTGCGCCTGCTTCTGCTCGCCAGTCTTCAAGACGTTCAATGGCAGCCTTTATCTAGTTGCATCTCGCAGCCGGCATGCTCGTGCAAAATTGTGCGTGTCAATGTAAGAACGCGCATGGCCTCCGGTAGGGTCGTGGAGGCGACCGAGGCTTGTGCGCGACCGGACTCTCCGGCCAGCTGCAAGTTGCGCTCAGTGAGCTCTTCACAAAGAGCTTCCAATTGTTTGTCAAGGTGCTCCAGAGGTCGGAGGTACATGAGAACCAAATCTACCAAATCCAGTTGACGTCTGTGTGAGAGATGCGACCCCCATTGGATTGTGCGTGCTGCGAGGCCAGACAGAGACTGGCACAAAGCACGGACTTGCAAACCCAGAACGCCGCACTGGCGACAATGCAAAGAGCTTCTAAGCGGGGGCGGTGCTGGGGCTTCTTCCTGGCCTGGTTCCAACGGAACCACTTCCGTCCGACATGCTCTCTCGAGGCTGTTTAGTGCCTCGTCAGTGCTGAGCTTTTTGGCCTCGATGCCCTGGAGCAAAGCTTCAAGAACACCAGGAGCGTGAGCCGGTGGCGGCGCATCTCGCGCACTCTGCGAAGGCTCCACGTCGTCCGCCACGATCTCCATTCCACTTCTCACAGGCATATTTAAAAAGCCAGCGTCATCAGCATTCGCATTGATTGCTGACATCTTTGGCTGGCGAGGTGGTGGTGAGGGTGGTGGTGGAAGACACTCCAGAACACCGGAGCTCCACGACGGCGACACGGTATTGAACGTGGCAGACACATGCGGTTCAACGCTCACATCCCCGCCACAGGATCTGGTCAGAGTTGCAAGGCTCTTGTCCAACTCACTCAAGTGCTGATGCAGCAGTCCACCCAGCTCTGAGTCCGCGGAGATATCTGGCAACATGGCGGGGCAGCTTGCCTATATGCTGTCGGCATAAATGCAAGATCAGGAGATGCGCTTTTTTTGAGGCTAGTGGCCTGAAACCGAGCCCGGTCCGTGCACTTTTCCGTCTTGCTTGCCAGGGGTATTGCAGAGAGGTTCCTTCAAGGAACGAAAACTCCTGCAATAAGGCCTCGGATTGGCCTTGCTATCAATTTCGGGTTGCTCTGATGAAGCTTCAAGACAAGAACAAGATTTTGCCATTCATAAGGACACTGAAACTTCATGTACCGTCGCATTTGTTTGGCGTGTTGGCTGAAGTGGCTTTGCCATCGACACCATCCTTGGCTTTCTACATCGTACTGCTGTGGCTATGCTCCGAACTCAAGATGCACCGGTCGGCCGCCCAACCATCGGACAGTAGTGCGCCGGCCCTGATACAAACCTCAGTCCCCGAGGTCTGAGGTCATGGGGAATTTGTGCCCTTCCGAGACTGATGCTGTCATCGTGCGCCACAGCAGCGACGTCTGCTTCTTGTTCGGGGCCGGCAGCCTGCAAGCATCGCCTCCATCCTCTGATCGTCTTCTGATCCGTCATGATGAAGCAAACCGGATAAAGCTACACGCGAATGGATCCAATCGAATTGGAAAGCACTCAATGCATGTACTGGTTTCACTGGTTTTCAGTGGTCGCACTGGACACCAAGCGACCATGGAATGCCTATGCCAACCAGTTCATTCCGCCCACACTGAGGGGGTCCCCACATACGTCATCCAGCCCTCCAGGCAGGCATGAGCAGCTCGGGCCAACCGGCTTCTTGCAGCACTAAAGAGAGGGGTGGGAGGAGGGCCAATGTCCGTGCAGCAGGAGATCTGAACTTGCTGCCGCACGACCACCTCATGACTTCCGTGCGCTCCATGTGTCGAGTGGATTTGGCACGCAGATTCAGACAAACTGTTGCGCAAGCGTCGCGAGCAGCATCACGGCGTTGCATGCAAGTGACACGCTGAACTCAGCCTTGCAGCTAACTTAACAAAACATCTTCGCTCCTCTTGCTACCAACAGCAATGCGAAAACGGAACACACGATCATCCAGCCCCTCCCTTTTCTCCACACAGCTCAACACCATTCCATCACGCACCCCGCCATCTGCTCAACTCGCCCCCTCGCTCCAGCGTTCTGCGTAGCCGTTTCGTGATCCGGTCCCGCCGCTAGTCCCCCGTACCCTGCTGTCCCACGACAAGAAACCCATCCAACACGCAAAAAAAAAAAAAAAAAACATTATCGCGCCGCCGACATCCGAACTCGTGCATGCAGCTGTCTGTGCCATGAGTGCACATCGACCTGTCTAAACTTGAATACGCTTGAAAGTTGTATATGTAGTCCGTTTGCAATTAGCTGCCACGTCTGCCTTCACCGTGGCACGCTGCTTGCGGACATATTTGGCCTCAGACGACATCAGATCCGAGCTCAATCGCCCTTCATGCTCCACGACCTTTGAAAGTAAGGTCCCTGCGACAAACGCCTCAGCAGCCGTGCCAGTGCCGACATCAGCCAGGGCCTCGAGAATGTGACCGCCACAAGTGAATCTCACAGCCCTTTGCAACAAACGACAGCCCCAGGCCATGCCAAAGTCGCGACCTGCAAAGTGGACTCACTGCAAAGTGAGCTCTTCTGCCATCGCAAACAAAGTGCAGGAACTTTGCCCTCGCCTCTGGGCATCCCTCGTCTCCAGTCAACTTTGTCTCTTCCTGTGTCCCGAGACCACACTTACTTGTGCTGCACTGTACAGACATCCAGCTACTGTCGCATGCTGTGACAGTTGAAATGAGGAGAGCTCGCTGAACATCATATAGTGTTCCAATGGCACCTCAGCTGGAAAGCAGCTTCCGATGTCTCGGTGTGCAGTCTCAGCTGTCGACCTTGGCAAGGCCAAAGACGCTCGGGAAGATGACACCGGTTCCTGATTGGAAACTGCAGGCTTTGTTTTCAGGATGTCGGCTGGACTGCCCTAAGCCGGCAGCTTGTCCCAGGTGCCAAAGTTCTTCGGGTGAAGAACCCTGGCATGCTTTCTGAGCATTCGTACAGCCACAGCCTCGCTGAAGCGTCTCGCCGAGCCGTTGAGCCCGTTGAGCCCTGCTTTGTCAAACAGGCGGTCGCGTCCCGCTGCTTGGATCGAAGAGGCCGGACTGTCCTCGCATCTCGGGCAAAAGAGAGGCCATGTCTGGTCTTCAGCTGAGCAGCTGGCCGACCGCAAGTCTAAATCCGGTCTCCAGCACCTGCGTGCCAGCGTGGGTCTTCTTGCTTCTTGAAACTTCCCGCGCTCAACTGAAGCTGGTGCACACCAGCCGGCCTTTTCGCTCTTTGGGCGGTATCGATTTGCTGCCTTTGCCCCCAGTTGAGTGCCGAGGAATCTTTCTCTAGAAGCTCCGTTCGTCCCTGCCTCCAGCTGAGGGCGCTGGCGACGATTTCTGCAGATTGTGTTCTCAAGCAAGACAAGCACAGGGTACTGCCCGAGCACCTGGAAGTCAGCGGTCTCGCCAAACCAGGCGGCTTGGACCTAGCAGATTCCATGACAACAACTTCATCACTTGCTTGGCAGTTCGACAGATCCTAGACCACCTCTGACCTTCTCGTGCACTAGGGAGAAGATGTGTGCAACCGTATTATTGATCTCAGGGGTCACCGAATGCAGAGGTGTACCACAGTGGCCGACATTATGGCTTCATGCTGCATGTAGGGCAAGGTCGCGATCTCAAAGAGCCTACTGAGATCCTATCTTATTCACATGGTCATGCCAACAGCACATGTGCAATGCTACGCTGCGCAGCCCATGGTCCAGTCGAGCCCCACCGAACAAGCAAACTTTGCAGTTCGAGCCTTTTTCTGGGTGTCTCTGACGCCTCTGCAGTCTGCGGCCTGCAGTGATGTCCGGCGGTTTTGAATCTACTTATGGCTGTGAACCCCTCACCTGCTCGTTGCATCTGCGGCCCTTCGAGCGAAGCAAATAACTGGTCGCGCGTGTCACAAGTTGCAGTGCGCTTCTCCTCGAGGCTCGCAGCCTGCCAACCGGATCCACCTCAGCCTGAACGGTCGGACGGCGCTTTGACGAGCACATGATAGCGCTTACGACCGACGACCGTGTCTGTTCCCACCTGTTTTGCAGCATCAAGTTGCGCAAATATTTGGTCCCAGCACTCTTTGGCCTCCAAAGCTGCTGCAGCACAGACAGACCATTCAAAACTACATCCACTCGCTGCCGTCGAGCTGCACTGTCCTCCCCCGCTGGCCCAAGATCTTGTGACAGTCGTGAAACCCGAACTGCCCACATGCGCCGGAAAAGCAAGCTGTGGCTGCAGCTAGTGGACAAAGTGGCTTCTGAACGACTAGACTCTGATCCGCAAGACATACTACGCTGCACAAACGCAAAACAGCACAAACGAGGCTTCCCCTTCACCTGAAGGAAACTTTGATGTTTGTGCCGTGATTGCTGCTGCACTACATGACTCTGGTCTTCACTTGACGGCGTTCGTGCGTTTGCCGAGTCTTGAGCCAGGTCGCGGTGGGCTAAACTCAATAACCGAGCCTGTCGAACTCTGTGTGTTCAGGATTTAGTGAGTGTACATTTCGGAACGGCTACATGCGTCGGTGTCCTGGTATCTGCCCGAGCATGTGGACATCCTCAAGCTGCGAAGGGGCTCAGATGCACAAGAGGTAGACTGCGAAGAGGAAACCAAAGCGCTGTGCGCAAAGGAAAGAGCAGGACGGAACTGGCGAGCAGGGATGCCGAGATGCCGCATAGCAGATATCGAGTGGTGCAGACTGGCCGCTCCGGGTTTGGTTGGCAAATATCTGTAGAGTTCGTTCCGAACAACTGCGGGGACTGTTCCTTGACAAGCATGCGAGGGGTGGGTTCGAACAGCTTTTTGTCCACTCCCGCCGGGTGCAAATCATTGGAGAAATGCCACCAGCTTCTCACCTTGGATAGTCCGTTTCGGAACACTCTGTCAACAGTAACATGAATGTTTGGCCAACCATGAGGCAGCGGCTTTCCTTCCTCCATCTTGGGCTCTTTCCACACTTGAACAGGAGGAATGTGTGTAACTCCTTGGCTTTGCTGTGGCTGCTGCGGATACTGTAACAGAGAACAGCGAGATGTCTCTTGCAGCAGAGGATCCTTTTCGCCGATTCCGATTGTCGGAGTACTTCTGCTTTGGCAGCCAGGTTTCTGCAGAGGACATATGCTCAGAGTCAGCACTTTAACCCCTACCTGTCGACTAAAGCTGGGGCCGCCCACCGTAAAACAGGTTCTCCTTCTTCTTCACAGGGGCATCACCCGCCGTCTCTTCCGCGACGCGTTCGTACTGACAGCGCTGTGCAATCAGATGCAAGGCAACGGAAGGAGGCTCGTCTCGCTGGCATGTCCTCGTTCTCCGTAGCCTTCGCCACAAACTCTTCCATGTCCATGTCCTTGGTGGCCTTCTCCCAGCAGCGCAATGCAATGTTGAGGGCTTAAGCGTGTCTCGGCCTCTTCTCCAAGTCTTTGTAACTGCTTCGACAAGAAGGTGCGATACTGCTTCAACCTGAGCGAGGTCCGATAGCTGCGCCCTATGCATCGAATCGTGCGGTTGTCTGCGATCCACTGAGATGACAAATCGTTACTTATTTGACGAAGAGCTTCACGGCTCAACCGTGCGCTCAATGGGGCTTGCGTACAACGATGAAGCTGGTGTGCTGTTACTCAGATGCTGAGGGCGGTGCCTGGTCCTGTCAACTCTGGCTTGCTTGTACTGGAGCACCACTTCGTCCCTTAGCGAGTCTCGCTCTGACCCACGGAGACATAAACAAAGCAAGGTATGTACTGGCGACATACATGGAATGAGGGAAAGAATGACAGAGAAGGAAAGGTGCAGAGAGACAGATCGGGAGACAAAACAAAGGAAAGAGGAGGAGAGAGCGGAAGAGGGAGGGGGGGTGAGATTGCACAAAAGCCTAATCAAGAGAGGAAGCCCGAGACAGAGAGAGAGAGAGAGAGAAAGCGAGAGAGAGAGAGAGAGAGAGAGAGAGCGAGAGGGAGGGAGGGAGGGAGGGAGGGAAGGAGGGAGAGAGGAGTGAGAGCACGAAATCAACGAGAAAAAGAGAGGGAGAGAGGCGAGAGGGACATAGGGAGAAAGGAAAGCAGGCGGTAAGGGAAAGCAGACACACGGAGCGAGACAGGGACAGCCCGAGCAAACGTGCGGGCAGACAAGAAGCGTGGATGAGAGAGTGAAGCTCAGAAGAGGACGAAGGAGACGGCGATAAACCGACAGCAAAGTAAGCAGCAAGACTAGAGCTGTGATCCCAGCCTTGGCTTCTGGTTTTTCAGGTACTGCATTGTTCGGTCGCGGTACCGCAGGTTGGCGGTGTGCGTGCAGTCCTCCAGGTCCAGGAAACGCAGAGGCTGAGCTCTCTCTAATCTCTTCATCTCCACGGCCCAAACCCTCTGGAAAAACCCTGGACTCCAAAGCTTTGTGCTGAGTGGGTCACCTTGATCTTGTGCATGGGATACTCCACTGGATCCTCCACTGCCCCGTGCGCTCGGCAGAAACGGAGGGACGCAAAGGGCACATGGGGTAACAACCTTGTTGTAGTAGAGGTGGTTGGGCCCGGCAAAAAGCTTAAGCCGCTCCTGGCAGCGATGGCAAGACTGATAAGAGAATGCAGCCTTAAAGCGCAAGATCAGAATGGCAAACTCTCTCGCCTTGAAAATTCGCCTGTTCGCAGGTGTTTTCTTCATCATGCCCCATACAGCCTCAGTGGACTGCTAGAGCTACCTCGCGAGGCTGTCACCTCCTTGTTTTTTGATGCCGACTTCTTGGAGATCACGGTTTTCAGGGGTGTCGCATGCATTGCGAAGGACTTGAGCATCGAATCTAAAACTAGACCCCATCCTTTAACCTTCCATCGTTCCATCGCTGCATCCATCCCGCCGTCCGGGCATCTAGCCATCCTTCATCCATCCATCTTTCCATCCATCCAGCCAGCTATCCAGCCATCTAGGCATCTAGCCTTCCTTCATCCATCCCTCCAGCCATCCTTCCTCCCATCCAGCCATCGAGCCATCCCAGGCATCTAGCCATCCTTCACCCATCCATCTTTCCATCCTGCCATTCTATTCACCCATCCATCCATCCAACAACTCGTTCATGCTCGCATTACTTGCATGCATTCATTCCAGCCGGCCAAGCCACCCCGCCAGCTGGCCAATATATGCGTCTCGAGACGGGTCCAGGTTTTTTTTGTTGTTTTTTAAGGTTTTTTCTGGTTATTTTTATTGGTTTTCGGTGCTGGAATGCTAAAAAACCTGCAAGAGTCACGAGAAAGGGCCTGGCTTTAGGTCTTTTTTTGGTAATTTTTATGGTTTTCGTTCTTAGCTTCTATAGAACCTGTACGCGTTACAAGGATGGGCCATATGTACATGCAACATAGTGCACGGAGCTCATGAGACACCCTGTGCACGGCCTCACATTCGCGCACTTCTGCTTTTTTGGCAGCGTCGCAGCAACTTACCGGCATCCACGCACGCTCTCATCGGGAACCATGTGCAAACGCACTTGCAAGCGGTAAGCACCCTCCCTTATTTGGTAACTCCGGGTCAGCCTATAGCTTAAACACGCCACCCTTAATTGGCGATAACGGTTCAACATACATGATAAACGCGCCACCTCATTTGGTGATAGCGGTTCATGATACGTGTTAAACAACCCCGCTCATTTGGCGATTCCGGTTCACCATATATATATATATATATATATATGAAGCACACCCCTTATTTGGCAATTTCACTTCACCATATACGTCTTGAACACTCCCTCATTCGGCGAAAACCGTTCACCATATATCTTAGCTTGCATGGCCCAAACATAAAGCGAGGGGGATTGGGCCCCTGGGACGGGATTTGCAAAGTCTCAGAATAGTTATGCGCTTGACTTGCTGCGACCATCGCAAATGGCCATAGCGTTCTTGATGGTACGAAGTTCGCTAAAGAAAAACAGGGCTTGAGAAAGTGGGGGGAGGGGTCTGGGGCGCGGCGCAGCCCCCCCCCATTTGCAAACGCACTTGCAAGATCTTGCAAGAGGACCGGCGGTTCATCACATCTTAAGCAAGCGCCCTCATTTGTCGATTCCGGTTCACCATAGATTATGCAAAAAAATATTAGACACACCCCTTTCCGGTTCACCATATATCTTTAATACGGCCCCTCAGTCGGCGATGACCGTTCACCATATATCTTAAACACGGCCCCTCTTTTGGTGATTACGGCTCATCATATCTTCAACACGCTGCCTCATTCGGCGATTCCACTTCACCAGACATCTTTAACACGTGCCCGCATTCGGCGATAACAAGACCCCCTCATTCGGCGAAAACCATTCACCGCGGCCCAAACATAAAGCAGGGGGAGGGGGTTGGGCCCCTAGGACGGGCTGTGAAACGTCTCATATATGTCAGGCGCTTGACTTGCTACGACCAATCGCCAATGATGGCCAGAAAGCTTTCTTGATGGGACGATGTTCGCTAAAGCAAATTCACTACGGAGCTGAAGAAAGCGGAGGGGTTGGGGGGGGCGCAGCCCCCCCCATTTGCAAACGCACTTGCAAGCGGTAAGCACCCCCCCTTATTTGGTAACTGCGGGTCAGCCTATAGCTTAAACACACCACCCTTAATTGGCGATAACGGTTCAACATACATGATAAACGCGCCCCCTCATTTGGCGATAACGGTTCATGATACGTGTTAAACAACCCCGCTCATGTGGCGATTCCGGTTCACCATATATATATATATATATATATATGAAGCACACCCCTTATTTGGCAATTTCGCTTCACCATATACGTCTTTAACACTCCCTCATTCGGCGAAAAACGTTCACCACATATCTTAGCTTGCGTGGCCCAAACATAAAGCGAGGGGGGTTGGGCCCCTGGGACGGGATTTGAAAAGTCTCAGAATAGTTATGCGCTTGACTTGCTGCGACCATCGCAAATGGCCATAGCGTTCTTGATGGTACGAAGTTCGCTCAAGAAAAACACGGCTTGAGAAAGCGGGGGGGGGGGGTCTGGGGGGCGGCGCAGCCCCCCCCATTTGCAAACGCACTTGCAAGAGGACCGGCGGTTCATCACATCTTAAGCAAGCGCCCTCATTTGTCGATTCCGGTTCACCATAGATTGTGCAAAAAATCTTAGACACACCCCTTTCCGCTTCACCATATATCTATAATACGGCCCCTCAGTCGGCGATCACCGTTCACCATATATCTTAAACACGGCCCCTCTTTTGGTGATAACGGCTCATCATATCTTCAACACGCTCCCTCATTCGGCGATTCCGGTTCACCAGATATCTTTAACACGCGCCCGCCTTCGGCGATAACCGTTCACCAAATATCTTGAACACGCCCCCTCTTTTGGCGGCTCCGTTTCAACATATTATGTCTTCAACACGCCCCCTCTTTTGGTGATAACGGCTCGTCATCTATCTTAAACACGCCCCCTGAATTCGGCGGTTCCGGTTCATCATATACCTTAAACGCGCCCCCTCTCTGGTTGCAGGTGCCACGCCAGATCAACAGCCCGACTGGCTAGAGGATTGACGGACTGACAGACTGATTGACGGCTCGGTTGGCAGACGGACTGACTGGCTGACCGACTCACCGCTGGACGACCGACTGACTGACTGACTGACCGCGCGGTTGGCAGACGGACTGACTGGCTGACTGGCTGACTGACTGACCGCGCGGTTGGCAGACGAACTGACTGGCTGACTGACTGGCTGGCTGGCTGACTGACTGACCGCGCGGTTGGCTGACCGACTGACTGACTGACCGCTCGGTTGGCTGATTGACCGACTGACTGACTGACTGACCGCTCGGTTGGCTCGTTGACTGACTGACTGAGTCCTGCGTCCGCCGAACCGAAAACCGTAAAAAATAACCAAAAAAAACCATAAAAAATACCCAAAAAGAACCCCCGCCCTCTCGAGACCCAAGGTCCCAAGCAACGCCGCACCACACAGATCAGGAACCCCCACGTGCGCTAAGAAGGTTGTCATTTCTTGACCAGCGTGCGGTCAATGGATTAGAATCTGCAGTGGGTCTCGCTTACCGGACAATGGAGAGACACTCGGGTCGACATGCAACAATGTACTGAAATTCATAAAGGATCGCACTTGCCGAAGAATACGGATACGCCGCATCCACCGGAAGTGTCATCATTTCGGGGCCGGCATGCAGCCCATGTGTCGGAATTTACACCGGGTCACGCTTACCAGAAACGCGAATCGTCGCAGCAGCACACGCTAATAAACTGCTTACCTCCAACATCCGGCAGGTTCAGAGCGCATCCGAATACCATGCCCCATAGTCTGGCGGAGTTCAGACATTGCCAGGCCGAGAATCGTCGCGGCATGACACGCATTCGCAGTAGCTCTGCGAGGGTTGCCAATTCGAGCTCAAACACGGCTCATGTAATGAAATTTTCCCAGGGGTCGATCAAGGGGTCGTGCCGACCGAAGCAACCGGAGACACCGTTAACACCGAGAGAGCTGTAAATTCGTGCATGAGGCCCATTCATCGGAGTTTACCATGGATTGCGCTGAGCTTATACGACGAAAACCGCATCCTGCTAGCCTTGCCCGTGCATTTAAATCTGAATTAAGATTGACAGTGAACTAGATTCATTAATTGGGCTAGCTTAGATTAACTTCGATTACATTCAGTTAACATAGAGGAAATTGGACTCAATAGGTTTAAACTGCAATAGGTTATATAGGTGTAAACGTACGATCCGTGGAGAAACGAGACGGGTGCTCGAGCTACCCCGCCACCCTATTAGAAAGAGCCGACCCACCCAACCAACCTCTCGCCAACCTAACAAACAACCTGACATGATCATCGTCATCGTCATTATCGTCAACATACCAGTATCGACTCATCATGCCATCCCAACCACCTCCACTGAATAAAACCCTTCGCCATGCTTTCGGGCAAAACTGGATTAGATGTCTCTGCTCCCCCTGCTTCCCAGGGCAGCGCTCGCATGATGATGCGCTCGGGGAATCGTTTCAAGAGGTCCTTGAACCGCTCGACCTGCATCATAGTTTCACTGAGAAGGGAGACGAGCGCACGAAATCACATGACCGTCACAGGCCTTCATGTTGCCAGGCCGATTGCCAACGTTCCTTAGTTTCCAGAGTCATACTTCCAGTGGCACCAGATTGCATGTACCGCTTGCTTTGCAGGATCCGTGCATCCTGCATAACGTGAGCGCTAAGCCTGCTATGTGCCGCAGATAACCTGTGACGAGCAACCGGAGATACAGCTTGTAGTGGTACTTCTTGCCAGACACGCGGATCTCAGTGCAGTGAGCGTAAGCGCGAACAACAAGCTGAACGCAGACGCAGATTGCACCCGGTATGTTGTGTCAACTTTTTTCACAGCAAGAGACAGAGCAATTGCTCATCCGGATTGTTGCTATGTGCGGAAGCTAGCTGCGTGAGGGCGTCGGAGGGCGAGCGTGAGACTGATGTCTTGCAGGTCTCGCACGCTACCATGTTCCTTGCAAAGTTTCATGCCTTCCACGGGATGCCTCATGCACTTCGACGTGCCGCGACCACGCAATAGAGATGCACCAGCTGATGTAGCCACCGCCGCAGAGTCGGTCAGGCTCAATCACTTCGATCCTAAGATTCGTCCCGCTCGCTCCGGCCTCCAGTTGCTTGGAACAAAAACCAGCATCCCAGCGAAGCAGACGTTTGCTGAAGTGTCGGTGGTCGTCCCTGGCCATGAAGATTGATGGAGATGTCAGCATGTTAGACTGGCACATCCCTTGATAACGTCTCCATCCCAGAGCTGCATCATGTAGCCCTGCAGGCTCAACGGCTGTACACGGCAACTCCAACCCCTGCACATGTCGACCCGGGCTCCTGGAGCTGCACCTTCCTCTGGAAGTATCCGAAGTGCCTCCAGAATCAGAGCAATAGCTGAGTGACACAGACTCAACCAGACTTACGAACGTCTGACAAATCAGCATGCAGCAACAAAGCCACACAGACACACTTTCACTTGTGTTTTGTCGACGAGCTTCGACAATCATGATCAACGACGATCCATGTCATCCAATGTTCATGCAATGCATGATGTCAAGATCGACGAAGATGCACATGAGATATATGACGGGCCCAAGAGAAGTTGCAATGATGGTTTCGATATCCGCATGTGCTGGGGCCGCTTCGTTGGGCCATCGCACACAGCAAATGAATGCTTCCTCTGCAAATTGATCTGGCATTCCGAAATCGAGCGCTCCACACCAAATCCGAAGTGATATCACACGCACGCATGCTTGGACGCCCCTTTCAGAGTATCCAGATTTTGTTGCCTTTGCAACCGTTTACTTGTCATCTTTTGAAGATGAACTTCGCTGCGTTGTTCTTGGCTTAACCCCAAGCCATGCCTGACTGAGAGTCCCCAGTCACTTCCCTTCCAGTGACCTAGCTTCGTTGGATCAGGTCAGCCACTGGAAGCCTGATCACATCCTTGCAATCCCCTGCCCTTCTCCCTTTGTTATCCGGATTTGACACACAAACACACACACGCTGTACACACCATACCGCACCGGACCAACCACACACCATGCATGCCACACCGCACCACACCACAGGGAGCCACGAGTCAGGACAAGCAAGAAAGCAAGTAGGAAAGTCCTCCTTCCCAGAGTTCGATTGCGATAAGGGTGAAAGCCTTAGCTTGCCAAAACAATGCTTGCTTCGTGCTGGATAGACAGTTCAATTGGCAAGCCATAGCTTCGATGACGAGAGTCTGACTGGGAAATCACCCAGCCATATGGGCGGTGAGCAAGCTAGATGCTGCCACACTCTGTGCAGCCAGAAGTGGTAGTTTGAGATCTCTGGCCTGCACAGAACTGCCTACGGCCTATGCTTGCACAGAGGTCCAACAACCGTTGCATTTGATTTTGTCAAACTCTGCGCTCGGCACTCTCGATTCGTCCCGGGAAGCTTCCCTCCACTGCCTGAGTTCTTGCCGTCGCCAGAACCAGAAGGATCAAGCAAGATCAAGAGCCATGGCACTCGAGCTTGGAGGTTGGAAGAAAGAGCCCTTCGGAGGGAGCCTTCCGAACCCAGAACTCTTCAGAGACAGTACCTTTCAAGCATCTTGCAGCAGCATGCCTTCGAGGCCGAATCTGCTCCGGACCAGGAAAAGCATACTGGAGCGCATCCGGCCAAAAGAGGCTTCGGCCTTCCGGAAAGGACTCATGGCAACTTTTACTAGATCAAATGGTCCAGCCTTCGCAGTCTGTTCCCCAGCGCCTGCATGCAAAAAGCACAGCAGTCTTTCGTGTCATCGTCACATCGTTCGTGTCAAAATTGTACATGTTATTACATGTTGCTGAGGCATGCACGAGAACGCCACACCCAACTTTGCCAGGCACGCACTCAAGACAACCTGCGAAAACCGCAAACCACAGGCCATGCATCTTGCTGTGCTCGCGACAATGAAGTCGAGCCAGGCAGCATCGTCCCAGTGTCCCGGGGCAGTCACACAGTGGCCAGTGTTCCAGTCGCCAGGGGACGAGCTTCGCAGCAATTTTCCCACTGCTATCTCTTTAGAAAGCATCTCTACGGCAGATCTTGACAAACAAACTCCAGTGCCACCATTGTGAAAAACTCGACCGGGTTGCTGATGCTTGTGAGCGTAATTGTCGAAGCCTATCGCCCAAGCATGAGCAAAGGAGAAGTTTCTGCAAGCAAGAATGCGGCGTATGTTGGGTGGAAGGAAAAGTGTGTCGGAGTCGAGGCGGCAAACGACGTGCGGCTTGCTCTCTTCCGGTAGCTGTCGAAGGTACAGCCCTGCAAAATTAAGTGCCATAAAGGTCTTTTCAATTGTGTTGGGTTCTTTATGTTCTGTCGGTGCCGGATCCGCAACAACGTCGAAGAACTCCCTCAGATTCACAACCTGATATCCTCTGAAATGTGATGGGCCGGTCCCTGCAATTATGAATTGCAGAGAATCACAATATTTCGCATAGGTCTCAACTACCATGGCCATTCTCTCAATCTCCTGCGGATACATGGTCAACACCAGACACTGAATTCGAGCGGGATTGGCAAGATTCCTTTCGGTTGTCTCTTGGGGTTCTCGAGCCCTCGGACGCCAGCAGCTCAAGGGACCAGAGGCTCTGAGCCATCGTTCTGGCACGGGCAGGTGTCGGTGCCACACTTCGGTCAGGATTCGTTCGTAGTTCTCTGCAACCTCCTCCACGGGGAAGGCCCACTGGCTGCGGCACGGCGCCTGCTGCACGATGAACGCCAAATCCATCACACTCTCCAGGCTGGTGAGGGCCACGTTCTCTTGCGCCGTCTCCCCCATGAACTTGAAGAAGCACATGATGCCATAAACAAAATGGCCAACAAGACATCGAGTTCCGCGGTGACGATGTTGAATCCCCCGAGGGCAGGGAACACTCCACAAATTAGTGAATTGGGCTACACGCCTGATCGGAAGGCCGCCATCATGCACAGCAGCCCAGATTTGGTGGCCAAAAGCTCTCTCGTTTGGCCATGGCTCTAAGTCACAGCCCCAGCAGACCTGATCGGCAGCTTGTTCCACTGCCTCCCACCAGCGTCCACGATCTCGCATTCCAGCGTTGATGCGACAAGCGGCTCCGCAAGTTGCGTCTGCGGTCATCGTGGCCCAATGCCAGAGGGACGGGTCTGTGACGGCGTCATCCAGCGCCTGATCAGACGAATTATGTGGGAGAGCTTCCATCTCTCAAGGTCACTAAAGGATTCCATCGGCAGCGCTTGAGAAAGAGCTGCACAGAAGGACAGGCATCCTGACAGTCACCATACGCAACCGTCGACCCGGGAGCCACGCACGCTCGCAATTGGTGACGATTGCGTAAGCTCCAACATCCTGGGGAGGTCTGTGCTTCGGCGTGGCTTTCAAACCCACTTGACATGCAAAAAGGCTGGGATCCCGGTCCCGGATCGGATCATACAGAGGGCTGTCTGTGCCTTCCAGAGTGGCGGCCACAGCCTGCACATGATGTCCGGGCAGCAAGTGCCAGATGTGAGACAGGAGAGTTCCTTGTCGTGCCTTTGCCAAGTGACCCAAGGTCTTTCCTTCGGCATCGAAATGATACCACTGACGGTACTGATCATCCTGGCAAGACATCACGCGCGCTCCGGGCTCCTCTCTTCTCCTGTGCCTGAATTTGAACTCCCTTCTATGCCAACACTTCGTCAAAGCATGAGATATGCCATGGGTTATGACACACAGCATACCTTCTGAGACTTTGCAATGAAAGACAACTCGTTTTGATTCAAGAGAACTGCCGGGTCTCAAAGACGGTCCAGCTAAGCACCAGTCCAAAGATAACACCACTCATTGTGCTCTGTCTGGCCAGACAGAAGCATGCTCCGACCTTCCTCTCAACAGGCGAGGGGCCGCGACAACGGCTGTCTCTGACACCTAGCCCGCTCTGGTGCTTCTTCCCCAAGTCCCGGCGAGGAAGCTTTGGAGGCCCTCAGGCCTTACAGGCGAAATAGCAGGCTCCCCTCAGGGGGGTCATGTGCCAAAACGCTGCTGATAATAACTCGTTCAGCTCGCCGCTCTGACCGAGGTAATTTCCCGCGGCCGGGAGAGTCGGATACAAAGGACAGAGGGCTTTCCGTGTCGGGAAGCAGACGGGGACGAAGCCGGACGATGCCCATGCTCTAGACAAAACACAGCCGCCATCCCACAGGCTAGCCACAGATTGAGCTCTTGCGCTCCCGTTCTGTGACAGGTTTGACTGCCACAGCATCAACCTATTGCAACATGATGTCCGAGGAGGCAATTTCCAAGATGTGCGAGGGTATGATGGACAAAAACACTTGAGGAGGTGCACGGAGCTTTCCACCTTTTATCGAGGTCCAGCTGGGTCCAGCGTGGAAACGTTCTGCTCTTCAGTCGTTGTCGCGGTCGGTCCATGCACCAAGGCGTGTTTTCAGGATCAACACGAGGCGAGGGCCGTGAGGGGAGAGGTGCCCAGTCGCTGCACGAATGCAGTCTTGCTAGGCTTATCTGCACACCTGAACTAGACTTGCTCCCTTCCGGCCTGCAGCTTTTTGCACGGATGGAAGGTCTTCTCTCCTCTCCACTGCGGAACAGGTCTCCACTCCTCAGCCAAGAAAAACGACACATGCACAGCAGTCTCACGATCAACATGACACCAACCATAACTCAGGATCCACATAGCAAAGCACGAATCAGAAAAAGAGTCTGCCCGTTTGTCGGAGCCGTAGGGCAGCATGATGGCAGGCTCAGCTGGATCCTTCGATTGAGGCAGGTCGCTCAATGAAGTCATCACGATATTCCGAATGCAGCCCAGGCTCGTATTCTGGGCTATCACGTCCATACCGATTCGGAGTGATTTGGGATATGCCACGCCGACACGTCACGCCTGGGAACTTGTGCGCGGGATGAAGTCTCTAAACCAAACCACAAAGTGCACCTCGCGGCAGGTTGTCGACAATCGCAGTGCTGCCTCCAACCGGCATGTGTGTCTTGAAGCAGACGTCGATATCGACTAATCAAACTTTACTTGCAAGGGAGGAAAGCACATGAAGCCGCTCTGCAGGGGCAGTTTCGCTGTGAAGCCATCAGTGTTGGAAGTATCAGTCTGTGCTACATGGCAACACTGTCACATGACGCAATGCCTCGGCAGGCTCAGGAAGCCAGGACAATTCTGGGATCAGATTCTCGAGTCGATGGTCTGTGAATTGCTGTACAGGGCGTGGGTAGGCGGGCGGATGGCCCTGAAGCTTTGCGTAGGTTTGCTTCGAACACATGGCCGCCCCAAAATCTTGCATGGCTTGCGGAGAGATGAGAGTTGGTGTGGCTGGCATAGATCAGGGACACCTGAGCTGTGCATCCCTATTCTGTTTCCGTCTCTCTACCTTTCGCGCAATCCTTCCACGCGACGGGCTGACACGGCGCTGCTTGTACTTTTTTTTTGGAGGGCCTTTTGCCACTGCACTAGTCTCTAGCCGTCACAGCCCAGTTGGGCAGGCACTCTTGGCCACATTAACCAACCCCTTTCGTGGCGTTCAGGTAACCCTCATCACCCTTCCATTGCACCCGATCTCGCCTCTCACATCCTAATCAGTAGTTCCACTGTAGTTCCATATCTTCATCCCTTGCTTCCCGGATCACGGCTTCATTCTCATGGACCTCCGAGTTGTCTGCCCCAGTCCCAGTCGCGAGACCAACCCCTTCACGTTCGTCTTGGACCTGCACAATCTCCCCGTGACCACTCATTCCGGACCCTCCATTCACGCCCTCAACGACAAGGTGCTCCGCCCACGTAGACGAACTCAAAGCCCAGGAGGAGGGGCCCACACTGTCAACATCGGCAGCCCCGTCTTCCATTACGGTGCCCGTGGCCCCACCCACATCCATTTGGAGGTGCGGCTCTGGGATGGGGTCAGTGGACGCCGAAGAACCTCCACTTGCCACTGCACCACTCGAACCGTCTCCCGGCAAAGGCTCTGCCGGATCGCCTGTGCCCTCCCGTCCACGTCCACGTCGTTGAGGGGTTCGAGAGCGGGAGAGACGCCTCCGTTCCCGTTCTTCATACCATAGTCTGCCCGGTGTAGAGAGGCAATGAGCCGGCTGGAAGCCGAGTTGGTGGAGATGGGCTTCTCCTCTCCAGTTGACCATGGCCTCCGGGCAAATGATCCCAAACCAAGCCGTCCGCATCCTCCTCACTGCCGACTCCACCCACAGCTCCACCCACTCCAGATCCACAGGCGTAGCCGGAGCCGCAAACTGCGCCATTGCCGGTGCCTCCGTGATCGGTCGGAGGACACCGTTGAGGATGTTCATGTTCTCGCGCGAGAAGCGTTCGTCCTCATACCCCGCAAACTCCTGCATGAGCAGCAGTGCCAAGCGGCGAGCATCAAACCCTCGGCCCACGAAGTCCACCGCCTGGTTGACAAGGTGATCAAACCACGCCGGCTCCCCTGGCAAGAAGGGCTCATCGAACCCCTTCGACCTTGTGGGTCTAGTAGCCGCCACCAGCACCGCCCCTGTTGTCCAGAGGCCAACCTCATCATTGTCGAAGCCCGGATCATTCTCGACCGTACCAGCGGTGTCCGCCTCCACAATGAGTTGGGCTTGCATCAGATACAGTGCCGCCTCTCCCCACGTCACCGTCGCATAGTCGCCCGAGATAATCCCTTCCTTCCATTTGCGGAACTCCTTCTCGTAGTTGGCAAAGTCAAGCTCGTGTGGAACCCCTGAAGTGTGAACAGGCGGCGAGGGAGCATCCAATCCTCCAGCCACCACCGTGGTTGCCGTAAAGCTCGCATCCGCCCCGGGTTCGTTCTCCAGCCTCACGCCCGTGACCACAACCCCAGGTTCCAGCGCCGGCAGGTCCACCTTAACCACCTGTTGTGTGCCAGGCTGACCGGGAAGGGGTCCCAAGTGAACACACAGCCTGGACCTTTTGTCAGGGCGAGCCTGGTTGTTCATCGCATCCGTCAAACACCGGTCCTCCCAGGCTTGATAGTTCGCAGCCTCCTCGCTACGACGATGTTCTTCCACCAGCCTGGAGACCTCCCTTCCTCTTCCGCCTCATGTTGGCTTGCCTACGCCTCGAGTGTCTCTCTCTCGTCCCGTGCTTCCCTTTCGTCCTCCGCCAGCGCTTCGCCTTCCTCTCTGCCCCCACTGTCCACCAAAACAACCCCATCAGAGTGCAGGTGAGAGGCATAGCCAGGGGCTCGCATCGCGATCCGCATTCGTTGCCACCACGTGTGCACACACTCTTCCATGTCATTATCCCCCATCACTTGCGACCAACCATCCCTGCACACACAAAGCACAGCCTCCAAGTGGTCCAAGAAGGCCGATCCACCATGCTGCTACCGCTACACCCTCGCACGATTCGCAATCCCTTAGATCCTCCCAAGCACATCGTGCCCTGCGTGACGAACATGTTCAAGCGAGACCTGCACCTCCTGCAGCACCCCTTCCGGCATGATGTGCATGGGCTCGCTGCATCAAGGAGTGATGATTCCCGCCCTCCGGTTCGACCTCGACCTCCATGCAGTCCTCGGCCGCACAGGACATCACCTGAGCCAGCTCTCACATCAACCTTCGGATTAAGTCGGTCAGGGCAATCGTCATGATGGCCAGGTCGCTACCGTCGTACATCCGAAGCGTGTCCACCATGTTGTCCGCCATGTCGCGGGGTGTCGCGCGCCCTCCTCGCTGAACCGCAGAGTCGCCTTCGCCCATCCTCGCACTGTCCGCAAGCCCAAGCAACTGCCTCCAAGTGTCTACCCCCTCAGCCACAGTGAGAGCCGAAGGCAGGGCCGGATCAGCAGGCGGAGGAGCTCTCGGAACCGCGCGTCCGGTCGCACGTCCAGTTCCAGCACTGCCATCCGAACATGCCCTGGCCGGGGTCCTTGGTGGTGTGCGAGGCGCCAGTCACCGCACCGACGTCGTGACCCTGTTTTGACTCAGCGGGATCCTGTAGCACGATCATCCCCTCAAACCCCTTGCCTGGACCGAGATTGCCAGCAACGAGAGACGTCGCATCCCCATCCAACCACTCAGACGTCCCACCAGTAAAAAAGGTCCCTCAGCACCAGGTGGGCTCCTTCCACCTCGCGCAGAAAGCGATCCCTTTCACATCGATCGCTACCCCGACAAAGTCCTGGAGCAGGTAGTCGAGGGCATCCCGGAGGTAGAGCAGCCGCCGACCGGGTTGTGATTCAGGATAATCGGGTACGGGCGCAGGTCCGTCCAGTGGCCAATCGCGCGCCGCCACAACGCTATCATCACAGTGAGAGGAGGCCACCAGTGTTCCGACCACGCACACAAGTAGAAGTCCGAAACCTTGAAAAGGACCGCACAGGAAGCGGGCAGCACCTTCGTATGGAAGCAGGGCCGAGGCCCCAGTCACAAAAGTCCCAACTTGTTCATTCGAAGAGCTGGGTTGAAGAGGGCTTGGGGCGTAAAGCCCATGGTGCAGGGCAGAGCCACGGCTGCAACATGGAAAGAGCATCCATAAACAGCCGTCACCCTGCAGCCCTCAAGAAACGTCACTGTCTGTCTCCCCGGAGGAAAAGGCGACCGGCGGCGCTCCAGCAAGGCGGGAGAAAGGCGGAGCGACAGGCAGGGCTTGAGCCTTTGGCTTGAGCCTTGTACTTTAGTGTGTGGGCTTTCGTTTTTATGTGGGCTTTCGTTTTTAAGTTTAAGGTCGAAGGCACGGACACCTCGAGAGCTCGTGCGGTTCTTTGGGGGGATTTGAAGCTGAGAAGGAAATCTACTTCCCCCCTTCTTGTCCCCTCGGCGCGCCCTGCTGCCGACCGTTTTGCAAGCGACCCGTTCCGGAACCGCCTTCTGCACCCTTCCGAAGCTTTCGGCGCACACAGTCCCAGAGAGATGTTCAGAAGAGTTTGTGTCCATCACAAGACTTCCATCAAAAGGTCAGGAAGAAAGGCTCACCTCCCGGGGAGACTGAGTGTCTGCAGTGCGGCCTGCCGGACGGTGAGGGCCCTGAGTTCCAACGAAGCCGCTCTCCTGCTGTTCCCGACTACAAAAATCACCCCCCCCGGTCATACACAGTTGAACGTACCTGGCTCCAGCAGCAGTATGCCGCCACTGCACCAGCCAAGGCAACAAGTGGTGCCTGTGCTAACGTCCAGAACATGCATTCGTCGGAGCACTTGAACGATCGGTGCTGCAACACTGGGAAGCTCAAGGGTCAGATCTCACCGAACTTGCCTGGCGGCACATAGTGAAGCGGCCTGGCCGGCCCATGCTCGCCTGACTACACCAAGGCAAAAAACTGGACTGTGTTCCACTTCAACATTCCATGCCTTGGTGCTTCCCATAGCCGAACTCTGAAGCAAGGCTTTCATTGAGCCCAGGAATACAAGCAAAGTGGCTTCACAGAAACCCCGAACCCCAGAGCCAGCCCTTCAGCAGGCAACACGCAAGAGTGTTGATTTTCCCGCGCGGAGTACCGAGAGGATGTCCACCAGATCGCGCTCTGACCGAGTCACGGTTGCAGTGCTCGGGAGCGTCCAAGGAGGCTGGGGCCTTTGCCTTTGCAACGATACAGCAGAAGCTTCAAGCTAAATTCCACTTCTCCAGTTGAGCCTGCATCTCGAGTGCCTTCACGGCGCGTGCGTGCGCGCCTGCGTCATGCCGATCCTTAAAGACTTGGCACTGCCGGCACTGCAGAGCAAACAGACTCTCTGGGACTCTTTGTCTTTGGGCGCGGTACGCAGAATGATGTGAACCCCTTGATCCGTGTCAACCTTGGCAGCCAAAGGCAACTTTAGTCTTGCCGCTGTTTTTCTACATGCCATGCAGTACCGCAAGGGTGGAGTGCAGAGGGCTGCTACTCGGCCTGCCGACTCCAAACCGAAAAGGTGGAAATCGGCTTTGCAGCTTCAAACCACGGTGAGCCAAGCACAAGCAAAGCATGCCGACACTGTTCTAACACATTTCAACTGCTCCCGCATGCACAGTACGCCAAACGTAGATCCAACTGAGCTTGCGTGCGAGGTCACTGAGCTGACCCACAGACAACGAAAACGCAATATCGTCCTGGGAAGGAGGCATCAATGGCTCAATCAAGTTGCAGACCAGGCTGTGTCAGCATCCCAAATCTCTAACTCGCAGGCACATTGCTCTCATGTGGAGGCCAGACAAAAAACTCTGGTGAACTCCGGATGAGTAGAATAGCCGCAAAGCAAGACTCATCCGAACTGCTTGAATTCCACGTTGCAACAGGAGGTCAGTGTAGATCAGCGCAGAAACTTGTCCGAGGCGCAGCACAGAAAACAATCCAAACTTCAAAGCCGGGACGCAAATGCTTGGCCGTACTTGCCGGGTTTGACCCAGCCTTATATTCCGACGGAGGGGAAGTGGGGAAGGATAAGGCCAATCCCAATGGCCCGGGGTCCCGGGCTCAGGTCACCCACCAGCTCTCCGGCCTTCAGGCAGCTCTGGCCTCCAGGCTCCGGCTCCCGAAAACTACGGAGGGCGCGCGATGCCACGGCTGAGGCTCGCAGCACTCGGACAGCTCCTTGCAGCGCTGGGTGAAGATCTTCCTGGAGCTGCGCGGACTTCGCAGATGGATGAAGGGCTTCTCAGTCTCAGTCTCTGGCATGCCAGGGTCGTTCTGGCATTCTTCCAGCACTGCTCGCAGCAATCGCTCAGCTTCTCCTGAAGCACGGGCTCAAGCCCCTGAAGCACTCGATTAAGGATCTGCTCCCTCCTCGCGAGCGCTTGACCTGCTTGTTTCGCACCTCTGGGACGCAGAAATGCGAAAAGGACGTTTGCCAGCACACGGCCTTGTCTATGGTGCTCTTGCATTCTCGATGTTTGAGCAGGATATGTCTCAAGCGCACCTGTCTCCAGAAACCACTCGACTCGGTCGACACATTCGGACGGTCGGCCTGGCTGGGGTCCTCTTTTTTGGCCCGCTTGTGGGCAGGCCCATCTTCTATCCTGCGGCCCAGACAGAGCACCGGGCGGCTGGGCGGCATTGGCTCTCCGACAGCCTGTCAAAGAAGACGACGATAGACCCGAGGCCAAGGTCCCCAACCTGAGCTGCTGCTCCATCAATGGGCATGAAGTCTGAAGCTTCGCGCCTGCCCCAGCCACTGCACCGCGGCATCGACCAGAGCTCCCGCAGCCATTCTGGCGCGGGGCGCACAACGCCTCAGATGGCATTGCCGAGACCGCACCCATGGCAACACGCAGCGAAGATGGGATCCACACTTCGACACCGTAGACACGGCAGTACTCTTGCCGATGCAATTGTAGAGAGCTCGGCACCTCGATATCCAAACAAAGCACACTTGCAGAGCATACAAAGACCAGGTTCCGAAGAGGTAAGCACACGGCACGAACGCAAGGCCCAAATGCGGAGACTCTAAATGCAAGACCTCCAGGTCATGGGTGCAGGCAGCTAGGCAGCCTTTGGATCCATGCTGATGCACACATGCACCACACCACCCAGCCCTTTTCCCCGGACTTGAGCCCTCTGGGCATGTAACCTGCTGCCTCATGTTACGAACAGTGTTTCATGTCCCGGTGACCCCGTTAGGCTTACTTGGCACCTAAGGTTGCGCAAGCCTTCAAAATCTTTCCTGCTTGTTGCCAAGACTTTAGTAAGCAAAGCCCGTCATGAATTTCGGTCTTTGCCAACTTCCCATTCTTGAAACATGGACCCTGTCAGCGTGCGGTTCACGATGCATTGAGCACCTTCGTTTCTGGTGATGACGATAGTTGTGGAGAAGCATTTTGCTTCTTGAAGTCGGCATCTCCCAGCCTGGGCACCGGCTCAAATCCCTGCAACTCTGCTCGTCGTCTTTCGCTTTAAACTCTATAAGTCTCTAAGTGCCCGTCGATCTTGTCCACTGTATTGCTGGAGCCTCTCCTGGAAAACGGCAGCCCGGGGGTATGCGCTCGATATCGCAGAGCGAATCCTTCATGTCCCGCGCCTTGTGGTGCTGCGTCAGGAGGCTCGTCGTCTTCGTCTTCATCCTCATCGAAGCCAGGTGCGACCTCTCCCACAGGTCGGCATCGTCCAAGCACTGAGCGGGGCTTGGGAGTCTGCGACTTCTCAAGATCGCTTGAGAGCGGAGCATGCGGTTTGAGAAACTCCAGTGCTTCTCCATTTCGCATGCACACCTTAGGCAAATGACGCTGTATGTGTGTGTGTGTGTGCGGTGAAACTTCGTCATCTGTTTGGGCAGCAGGCCACAGCCGCAACATCACCCAGTGTGCTAATGACCTAACCAGCACTTTGAATAGAGAGGCTACAAGCAACGAAGCAATATCAAGCAGAACTCAACAGTCAATTGAATCTGAGGCTCCGGCTACACGATGTCCCGAGACCAGGGCCACTGCCGCACAACATCCATCTGGAACTCCCGGATTCCTGTAATTCACTGGGTCGTACTGCGTCACGGTAACAACGTGCGTGACAACATCAAAGAAGACAGTTGGCGAGGGCACTTCTCTATGAACTCGGCATCCAGCTCCTCGAAGCCTTCTCTCTCTGTCTCTGTCTACTTAACCGTGCATTGCAATTGTCATCGCACTGCACGCTTAAGACACCCACTTTCTCGCATTGCCACCTGTAGACGGGTATCCTTGGACTTGCAAGCTCTTGCACGCTGGACGGCTGTGTTGACAGCTGGCAATGCAGCTCCTCCCAGAATCCACGAAAAGCTGAAAGCTTTGGAAGCAGTTTCTGATGTAGATGCTTGACCTGCGAAGACGATCATGCGCTGGAGCTTCACTAATTCACCAAGGTGATTAAAACACTCAGGGTGCAACACAGAACTCCGCGCAAGCATTTGCAGTTCCTGGACAACTAGGCAACCGAGACAGATTGCGCACATGGAGTTAAGACTCTTGTGAATCTGCTGAACTGCCAGAAGTAGATGCCACGTCTGGCAGCCACGGAAGGATTCTTTGCAATGTGCATGCACGTTTTTTCCTGGTGTGGCTTTGGCTTTGAGTCCTGCAAGCCCTAGACAGCCCCCGATTGGGTGAGCAGGATTGCGGGATATGAACTCCTGGCTTCGTTCCAGCGGTGAAGTGAGTCAGGGCCCTAGGGTAGGGCTGAGCGTAGGCTCAGAAGTGTTCGCCTCATGGCACATGGTACCGATTCCCACGACAGAGAAACAAGACGGATGGCAAAGCCAGTGGTCCTGGGAGAGGAAGAGAAGACCAGCCCAGCAAACATGGTTTGCATGAGTGCCGACCATCACACCTCACTTTCTCCTTCATATGGTGACAATTGGCCAGCTTGTTCGTTTGAGTTGCTTTAGGTGAGCTTGAAGGACCGGTCCATGGAGCGACCGTGCGACGTCGCTGGTGTGCATACGCTTGGCCGCAAATTTTGGGACATGTCCTTATGAATTCGAAATGCCCCTCTTCGGCATCCCAACATCCACTGCCGATGCTGGCACCGGGCCCACAACCACGGGCTGACACTCTCAACAAAGCAGACCAACGTCTCTTCGAAATCCCGTCCTGAGCTTGGCCGACCTCTGTGGCCCTCGTACAGTGCGTACAGCGCACATGGCCTGTCGGCCGGGCTTGGCTTTTAAAGCCACATGAGAAGAGGTGTCCCGGCATTCCTGGCCTGTCGAGATGTTCAATCGACATGCGCATCGCCTGCAAAGAAAGGTAAACAAAAACTAAGTGGTCGTCTCCCAATTCCTCCTGTGACCAAACCATACATGTGATCCCGAATCGGCGCGTCAGTGGCCACCCCTACAAACCCCGCCCCTCGGTAGGCCCCCCCCACCGCAGCCCAGACAGTCACAGGGACGGGGCTCATCCACGTCATCCTCCTCGTAACTGTCGACGTTTTTTTGGAACACTCCTCCCCCACAGACAGATGAGAATGATGGCGATGATGCTGAGGACGATGACTCTGATGTGCTCCTTGCATGCTGGTATTCCGAGCGCGACTACTGTTGGTAGTACCACTGCTCTTATGCTGTTGTGGCCTTAGGTACCGCATGTTCTCGCTTTTCGCTTTTATTTATTTCACAAGCTTGTTTGGCTGATGTTCTTTCGTAGTTTGTATCGACCGTCGCCATTCTGCTCAGTTTCGCTTGAGCGCGTCAAAAGTCAGCCCAGTGAATGACTTTCATGCAGGCTTCTTGAGCAAGGGATCGGAGGAGAGTGCAGCCAGAGATATACAGAGATCACGATCACAATCTTCGGGGGAGCGGCAGGCCCACACCACAGGGAACCGGAGCTGGGAAGCTGGGAGGGGAGGGGCGGCAGGATACCATGGGTGAGGGGGGGAGAGGGGGCCTAGCAGCGCTGCACCACATCTATAGAAATATACATTGTTATCCATATGTAAACTACATATTTTACACATATATATACAAATGGCAACTGGAGCACAGGCTTTGCGCGGTGTCGATTGCGTTATGAGACTACTGTTTGGTCGCGCATCTTCTAACACCCTTCATCACCCGAATCAAAATTAAATTCATCTTCTTCTTCAACTCTTTGAATGACAGACCTTGGAATGACAGACCTTGCAAAGATCTTTTCCTCTTTTCTCTGCGTAAGTCTGATGTGCTTTCGTAGCATAGAATACTTCAGAATACAACTTCTTGCTCGGCTAGTCCTCCTAGCATTGGTTCTTTGACCTTTGACCATGGTTCTTTTCGTGGGCTCTTAATAATATCAGAAATATTCAACACATCTATACACATTGCCATCCCTGTTGACATCCTGCTGTGTTCTCGTTACCTTTAGTACAACTGTTGAGCTCACATACTCCTCTGAATCTGCGCAATATGACCGTCAGCAGGTGTGCATGCATGCCTCAAACACTCAAGTTTGTCTCCGTACCATGAATTCACCCGGCGCCGTAAGACATTTGCTTTCAGCATTTTTCCATAGCGTCAGAGTTGCCTGTTCACGCATTGGTCACACCACACGAGTTCAACGGTATCAGCTTGTTCTTGCTGACAACATCATACACGGGCAACTTCCGAAATTTGGACCAGTTGACGGATTCCAGAACTTGTCCAGCTTGAACTTGAACCACAGCTTGAGAGTTTGTTGCATGCCATGGCTTATCTCATGTCTGATGTCCATAGCCCGTCGGCGGGTATCCTGGTTAGGTGTGCGCCGCCTGAAAACTTAATGACACCATTACCGACGCTGCAAATATATGGGAGTCTGTCCCCGTTCAAGCTGCGCCTGCATTGAGCTGATACCCTCTCTACTGTGTGCAACAACCTCATGCAAGCCTGCATGCATATCATGTTGTAATTAGAAGAGTGTCGTCAGCATATGTCAGCATGCACCGGTAGCCAAGCTCCATTGCTGTTCAACTAGATGCACCATAATTACCCCTTATCTACATAAAGCAAGCAGATGCTAACCCCACCCTCACATCCTGCCCTCCCCTCTGCGCTTTCACACCATTTCGCAACCCGCCTAAGATTTCAACCCATAAATCCCGCAAAACACAAAGCACCTCCCAAAACCAATACAATAATCCCGAAAACAAAGCAACACACCACAACAAATACTATTATCCATAACACAACTCAAAACCCAAAGCACCTAAACAATCCATAACCTTAGCCATCAAATAACCAACATCCTATTATGAGGGGAAGGGTAACACCCAAAAAAAAACCAAAAGACTACAACCCCGAACTCGGAGATACCTTCTACATCGACTAATACATAAACAAAACAACTGTTAGTATATTATGTTAAGAAGTCATCAATATTATTGACATAGTTTGAGTCATTTCTTATTGGACTCTGCTTCCTGCATTCTACTTTGGGTCTGCAAAATCTGTTGCCAATATACGTTTCAAATGAAAAACCCTCCTCATAACGTATATTTGTCATCAGTCTGTTAATCCAAGATCCAGTTTTTGTTGAACACATCGTATGTTCAACTTTGTTATGTTCTTCAATATTTGCGATATAGTCCAGAATTTGTTTAATACCATTTACCACTTTAATTACTTGTTAAGCGAGATTATTACAAATTCTCGTTTTGCATCAGTCTTTTTACCAACTGTTTTATCATATTCATATATATTATTTTGTTGCGATGTTTAAAGACAAAACAAATGCATATTAGGTACAAATAATTTTTCATAGTAGAACTTAACACCTTTATGGATGTCTTCATTGTAAAATGTACCATCGCTTTTCATATATCTTTTAATACGTTCTTATATGTAGGAAATGGGTTTAAATTTATATAACGATATATCTGCGTGTTCCATTTCTTTGGCATATATTCTTTTATGTTGTATCTATCTATCAATTCAACTGCTTCAACAACATAACCGAACTTTTTCATACTACAATCGTACACACTCTCGTTAAACTCGTTTAATGTCTTACACCCCTCGCAATCTTCATAACTGTATTCACAAATACGAGTAACACTGTTTTTCAAATGTATTTAATGTATATAAACACATATTCTGTTGGTTAAACTTACACATTCTACACATACTCACCTTATCTTTAATAACTGTCTTCATTTCAACAACATAAATTCTTTCCTCCTGATTTCATCCTGTTCATCAAAGACTGAGCATCGACTACCTAATATATATATAAATATATTTTTAAATGGGTGTCGTATAAAAACAGAATTACGAAAGAGGATGTTGAGGAGTCTTTAGGAAAAAATGTTGACAAAAAACGCAAACCGCGTCGCGATAATTTTTTGTTGCACCTCACGCCCATTTTGAATATCAGGCGAATTTGGTTCTATTGGTAAAAAAGATTTGGAACGACAAAATTTAAGAATAGGGTTAGTTTCAGTTGATGTTTTTAACAAATATGCTACTGTTATACCCATGTAGAATAAAAAACCACCAGATGTACGATGTATTGGCGGGAATAATGGAACGACAACAAAAAGAAGTGCGATAAACCCGAAAATGCTTTACAGTGATGAGGATGGGAGTTTATATAGTAAAACGGTTATAGAATATTTGGAAGGTGAGAAAACTGAAATACATAGAACACGAGGTCATCCGGCATTTGCTGTACGCTGTAAAAGAACAGATAAAGATATGTTATTCAAGCGAGTTGAAGCAAATGAAAAGGGCAAAGAAAAAATACAGTGGATAGATCACAGTTTAGAGATATTATTAACATAATATTAATAAAATGGTTTCGCCTGCGACTAAAATGACACCATTAGAGGCAAGGAAACAGAAAATGAATTTGAAGTTAGAATGAATATGTCGTTACAGGCAAAGCGTATTACAACATACCCCGAAGTGATAGTGTTAAAATAATGCGTGAAAAGGCATTAGCGAAAAAGAACGCACCAGTCACTGGGCGAGAACCCCCAAAAAGTTAAACGAACAGATAAAAATTAGGACAAAAAAAATATTACTTGGACGCTTGGGAGAAGTCCTCGCGAAGCCTTCGCGACAACGATGATAAACGAGCTTATTTGCGCCACGAGTTGTTAAAGGCGAAAAAACTGATAGATAAAATATATTTTGTATATTACATGTACTGTAGGTTTGAGCCGAAATGTGTTTCTTCTCTAAGGGCCGACCGAGCGCTGTGAACGCCACGAATGTGGCTTCACTCTAGCATGCTGCAGGTCAGCTCTGTGGGCTACAGATTGTTTGTCGCGACAATGCGGCACGCCTGCAGGAAGAGCAAAACCATATGCATAACACCGAAAGAAGATCAGCTTCCCCCGTCGCAAAAGCACTGAATTTATCCAGAGAGTCGACGCCTGCAGTAAGAAGCTTGCGCAAGTGATCATCCTCGATACCCTGCCGTTGCAACAGGAATCTAAGGTCGGCTGATCCCAAAAACAAGGCATCAGTTGCTGGCACCGCCGGCGGCGGCGGCGCTGCTGGTGCCGGACCCAGCGCTCCGCCACCGGCTCCGGCCATTGCTCCCGGGCGCACCCAAGTACGGCCCCCTCCCGCTTGAGTCCCAACATCGGAATGCACCGATTTTAAGAGGGATCTCACTCCCATGCAACAAGAAGGAAGTACTTGCTTCCACATCGCATCACTCACAGGAGCATGCAATACCCAACCACAGACGGAGAGCAATCCGTCTTTTTCCACCATCTCAATCGGAGATCCTGTCCCGACACGAAAAGCCCTAACCCAAAAACTAAAAGCCTTAACCCGAAACTAAGTGCCCATATCCAAAAAACTACACTTCTCTAACAGGACAAAGCTTTAAAACCTCCAAACTCAATCTGAAAGACACCACAAGCCCCCAAAGTGGTGCAGCTTCCGGCATTCCCTGAAGTCGTTGACTGACTGACTGCCATGACGCAGCTGCGAAGTTTTGAGTTCTTCAGGTGCAAGCAAAAGCACACAGCGCGCAGCGATGCTGTTTTTCTGTCCACTGTTACTGCGCTGTATGCCGCCAATCCAGGTGTATTCTGTGCGACCGTTTCCGGCTACAAGGAGTGCGGGAGTCGCATCATCTCGCAAAAGTTTTGAAAAGACATTTGCCCTCATCGCTTACGCAGTCTACAACCTGCACTTCCAAGCCAGAGGAAGACTGGCCGTGCATAGGATCTGACAGCTCGTTCCATATCTTTACTACCGTGTCGAGAGCATAATTGTTTGAGTCACATGCCACAACAGAATCATACATGCAGGTATGATTCTGTTGATTTGCCCGCCTTGGGATTATTGTGCACAACAACTGCACACACGATTTTGCTGCCGCTCAAACCTTGCTCTGTCCTTTGCAAGTGCTCCTCGAAATCATAACTCCGTTTGCACGAAGCAACTCTGCTTCATACTTGGCCTCGATCTTATCCGCATCCTTCTGCATTTTGTCCACGGCCTTGAATATTGTCTGCATAGCCACTTGCTGATTCTGCATCTGTCGCAACCTCGCTAAACGCTGACTCTTGTCCGGAATGTCGTTAATGGCCTAGAGCTCTTTGAATGTCCATGACCGCGACGGCATGGAATCCAGACATGTGAAGAAGAGTGAGAAACATATCCAGCTTGCCACTGTGCGGACGGAAAAAAACTACTTGCGGCCATCTCTTCTTTGGCCCCTTGCTGGAGCCCAACACTCTGCGCAGCACTAGAAAAGGTGAGAGTTGTTCTTTGCTTTTGCAAATCAACTTGGTACACAGAAAGCAACCAAGACATGCGATACAATGGCCGAAGCTGCGGCGTAAAGCATGCAAGGCGGACCAAGGCAGTGCTCAGCCACCGCAAACGCAGCATCGCTCCGCACTTCATTGTCAACCGCGTTAGTTTGGGCCTGTTGTACGGGATTGGTGTTCTGCAATGTTCATGAATTTACGCAAGCCTCGGACACATGTTTTGCCTGATGCTTTGGCCGGCGGTTTTTGTTCAGTGGGGTTTGGAAGGGTGTTCGTACTAGGCATATTGAGCAGTGGTGCAAAAGCGTGGGGGAGGGGGGAGGGTATAAGATGTGAGGTCTGGGGTAAGGGCGGTGCTTCGGATTTTGTTTTGTGCTTTGGGGTTTTGGTGTTGTGTTGGGAAGTGCTTTGTGTTTTGGATTGTATTTGGGATTTCGGTGTGGGATTTGGGCTTGGTTTTGGATTGCGTTATGGATCATTGAGTTAGTGTTGGGGCGTTTTTTGTTGTATTTGGGATTTTGGATTGTTTAGGTGCTTTGGGTTTTGAGTTGTGTTATGGATACTAGTATTTGTTGTGGTGTGTTGCTTTGTTTTCGGGATTATTGTATTGGTTTTGGGAGGTGCTTTGTGTTCTGTGGGATTTAAGGGTAGAAATCTTAGGCGGGTTGAGAAATGGTGTGAAAGCGTAGAGGGGAGGGCAGGATGTGAGGTGTGGGGTTAGCATCTGCTTGCTCATAGAACCTCTGATCGAAAACCTTCTCCCACTTGAGCAGTGCGATGATAACCTTGGTACGCGCTGCCTTGGATACGACCAGAAACAAAACAGTTGGCGAGCTCTCCATTTTGATGGGCTGCTTTAGCACCGGGCAAAAAGAAGTTGCTTTTACACGGTGTTGGGGCTGTTGCAAGAAGAGGAGCGAGAGCGGCCTGTGCTGCTTTGGCCAGGTCTTTCACCAGCACATGTCGAACTTGAGAGGCCTGCATCGCCAGCGCCAGCTTCACAGAACTCTTTTGGCCTTCCTGAGGCTTCTTGGCCTTCTCATGGAAGCAGGCCCCGACGGCGAACCGAACATCATGGGGCTGGCCGTCGTATAGCCTTGCTGATCAGGCTACACCATGCTACACCAATGAGAAACCTTTTTACTTAAGTTTGCTACTGAAAGGTCCTCCAGTGCTTTACGCGTTGGCTTGTATGGCTCATCCCTTTGAGTGTCGGCACGCTGGATGCTGAGAGCTAGGCAACGAGTACTTCTGCATGACAGCATCGTAAACGTACGTCAAGCCATCATCAGAATTCCAATAAACCTGCCATCTTCAACAAAGCATGATCGCCTTCCTCGCCTGTTCCCTCGCCAATTTCATTTATCGAAGCTGGCACTAGCTGCATTGCTGCTCTGCGTTCATCTCGACAGCATTGGCTGCAGATGCTGCATGTGCAGCACAAACCGCCGCAGACACTTGCCTGTCGCTTGTCATTGTAGTACAGCGGCTTGCCCTTTTCAACCTGGAACAGGCACGAAAGTCAGGCACAAATGGACGGCTGCCCGTGATTGAAACATACTCCAGTCGTACTCGAAGATGCAATCATACCCCAGGAATTCAAACAACCGCCATGTAACCGACTGAAGCCAGATAAGGTCGTTGCCCACATTATGAAACCACTGATGTCACGGAGGGGACTCGACGAGATCTCCGTTTGCCCGAGCGGTCGCAACTGTCTGAACTGCATGATCGTACATTTTCAATCAATTTCAGGCTTTCCTGGCTTGCCTGCTTGAATCCTTCTGGAACTTTCCGCGGACCAGCCTGGGCGTTCGCCTGGCTTCTGCACAGGGTCAGTGAGAACACGCATTCCGGGGACGGCCTGCTGCTCCTGCAGCTGAGCTTTTATCTTCCACATTGGGGTTCCTGAATAGCCTGCATTGGGCTTGTCCTCCGGAACATGACGGATGCACGGCACTGCGACAGGTTGCAGCACTTTGGTGACGAACCTCCCAGTGTCTGGCATTTCCCGTTTGGCTGCCCCTGGGGTGACACGTCTCACACTCCCCGGCTCACGCGCACGAGCTCGAATCACCAGCAGATGAGCGTCCAGCGTAAGCGCTGCATCCGACATGCTTTGGGCACCCCAAGGCCTCGCTGGAACTCTCGGTTTGTGCCAGGACTGCTCAACGTGTCCGTAAGTCTCTCACGAGCCCCATGGGACGGCGGAACAGACCTCGACCACGATCCCAGCCCTCGCTGCAAGATTTGCCCAAAAGATCCGAACTTGGGCTCTGGCACCACACCCGCTTTTCGAGCAGAGCTCCCGAAGCTACTTTGAGACATTCAGAAATTGCAGTCGCTGCACCCGCTGTGGAACAGACACAGAGGCCTGGCATTCTGATGCTGCTCCCAGCGCGGGCTCAGCCGCTAAGCTTTTTGCCAGCCATGCACCAGGCCTACTGCTTCGGTGAGACAGGGCATGCAGGGAGCAACAACATGTTGAAATCTCTCGTCATGGCATCATGGCACAGACATGACATCAGCGCCGTTATAGCGTGGCTTCATGATTCAGGCTTGAGCTAAGCGAGGCATGATAAGACATGAGCAACGTTTACAGGCTGCCAGTTTCAGGCAGTCTCGGGGTCAGCGCCTCAAACGGCATCAACTTGAAGACGCAAACGGCCGTCCGGGCTGGGCCCATCACTGACCGCAGCTGCGGCGGCAGCGTGTTGCTCGAGCAATGCTGTTGCTTTTTCCATTCGTTCCTGTGACAGAGAAGCGCTTGCAAGTGATGAAATGTGACGCTTCATCTTGCATTGAACAAAACAGTCCTCGCCCAACAGATCGGCAGGCACAGGTATGTCGAAGGCCTCGGAAACTTGAGCGAACATTGATTCCAGCTGTCCTCCTTGCTGCCCCTCCCGTGTCAGGCCGAAGTTTCAGGCAAACACCTGTGCATCCCTGATGCTCGCCTTCATAGAAGCGAGATCTGTGCTGTGCCGGTTGAAGGGAAGGCACCGTGAAGGCCAAGGCCTTGAACTCTGAGAGGGAATCGCTGAGTGCATTTGCAGTGGCCGCCTGGCGGGGGTAGCAGCTTCGCCAGCAGCCAGCTGACTGGAAGATACACCGCTGAGGCCCGCACAGCTTCCTCAGCTGCAGTCGATGCAGCATCTTTGGCTTCAGCAAAACCTTCGCTGCCTTCATCCATCGCTTGGACCTCAGCGGGTTCAGATGCGATGCTCACGAGATGTCACGACCAGGGGCGCCAGCAGCAGAAGACGCTGCTGCAGCAGCCTCGATTTTCGTTTCTGCTGTCACCATCGTCTCCTGGAAGGCCACGGCTCCATCGAGGACTCGAAGCCTCGATCTTGTGACCCACGCTCTCTCAGGGCTCCAACGGGCATAGAAATTCAAGTGTTCAAGAGTTCAAGAGTCCAAGAATAGCGCTTTCGCATCGAGTTGTCCATGAGATCCGGGTCGTAGTTCTGGCAAGTTTCAGGAACAGCCCTACGACTCCCAACGACAGCTGCAAGCTTCGCGGGCGCACCCTTGCACCAGCCACGTCAGCTTCTGAAAGGGCGGCCTGAATTGAGGAGAAGGTCATTCCAATGACCCGATGCATGCACTGTGCATCATAGCATAATGGTATAACATGGTGCTACTTGTACTGTACGAGTACTACCACTGCCAATACAATGCCCCAGTCCCAGTATGCCCCTGATATCCCCCGTGATGGTTCTTCCGAGCGGCTCTCAGAGGCTCTGGGTCCATACCTGATCGTGATCTACCGAGTCTGCTATCTACTGCTTGACCTCCGGCCCATCCTTTGGCTTTGCCAAGCGGCGCTTCTCATCAAAGCACAGGATCTTCAGCACGGCACACTTCTCCATGCCTGTGCAGCGGCGGCCAACATGTCCAAACCTAACATGATGCAACTCACAAGCTTGGCCGCCAGCGCGAGTGCAGAGCGCCACGTAGCTCGCTTCGTGCGCCCGCAAAGTTGGATCCTTGAACCCCTCCGGGCCTCATAGTCGAGCTCCCATAGCCAACAGGACAACAAACTCTTTGCTCTCCGCTCTACGAGGCTCCAGCACTGCCGTTCGCTCATCCCGCCACTGCCGCAGCTCCTGCTTTTGACGCTTCCGAAGTGAATCCGAAGCTCAACGGCTCGATGATATGTAGGCTTCGATAGTCTGCATCCTCTGGAGCTGCTTGTAGCAGTAGGGCACTGTTGGCAAATACTAAACTAGCAGCACGATCCCGTCTCCACTTGCCGATAAAAGGCCAAGCTGTTCTCCTGTATCTGGCTTGCATTTCTTTCTTTCGCTGCCTGAGCGAAGGAGGCACCGAAGTTGCGCATCGTCCACCTGAAATTGAGTAAGCTCGGTCTGCTGCATCGAGTCTCTGCTTGGCAGCTTGCCACCTGAAAGGCGCACGCACACACGGCTACCCGCTCTCTCACCCATGCTCAGACCTGGCATTCGACAGCTCAATCTCCAGTTCTCGAGCTTGTCGCTCACCGTCTGTGCCCAAAGCTTTGACGGCCACTGCCTCCACGCAAGAGACACTTTCGAAAACACCGCCTCGTGCGTTGACAGAGCCTCCGTGTCCTCTGCACTGACCTCTTCACTGACGACTCCTGCTCAGATGACTTGTTGGAGCAGGCCACCCTCATCGACATGCACACTCAACAATGCCAGCGCCACCATCCGTGTCTTCTGCCGGCTTCCATTCTGGCCTACACATTCAAGTTGCACGCAAGCACATGAAATCAAGAATCCCGCATGCGCTTAACCTGTCTGCTTTGTGATCGTATCTGAATCTGTCGGACATCGAGGTCGACTTTCGGCCTGTCTGGGGCGACGGTGTACGGATCCTGGAGAGCTTGAAGCTTTCACTTCCTCTTACTTGTCAAAACTATGCTGAAACGTGTCAGTTGAAACCTGCCTCTTGTATGAGAACGGCTGGGGTGTCTGCGTGGCCACTCCTTGGCTCGAGTTCGGACTACCTTCTGTCTCTCCAGCACGAAAGCCCAGAGGGCATAGTCTGATGATGGCTGCACCACAGGCACCCGATTCTTACTTGGAAAGTGCTCTGCGAACCCAAGACGAGATGGAGGACAGCAAGGAACCTGACGACTGGCCAGCTTGGACACTGCTTCTGACGGACCGTAACGCCATAAAGGCAAATGCCCTGGCCGTGATTCCCTAAATCACGTACAGTACAGACTGGGTTGTCCAGAACTCCCAGAGCTCCAGCAAGTCTGGCCCCAGCTAAACATCTTCGGTTGTAGCGTTGATGCTAGAAGTTCATGGCTTGCCACCCACACCGCAAAGAAAGAGCAGCGTTTGTGTTCCAATTATCGGGTACGGGATCACACCCAAAGCCTCTCTCTCGTGCTTCAACACCTCATGCCCACTTGCGCCTTTGCCTGCAGAGCCCCTCAACCCAGGTTTCTGACGACAATTCACCAGCCCCCACTCGACACACAGAAAGCGGACCTCACGGAACTCTCCACACTCGGAGAATGCCCGGACAAGAAGCCTTCACAACAACTACAAGTAGGGAGGAAGTGCGAGAAGGGAGTCTTTCGGTAAACCCTGATTATCAGAATCCTTCGTTACAAGCGCCCTTAAGTTGTAAGCTCCTTGATTAGGGCTGTTGCATATTCTGGGAATCCGCCTGTCCGACCTCGGGACTGATCCTGGAACCCCCAGGCAAGTCCCAGAGCGGGAGCTTCTGTGGCCGTCGGAACCACGAAAGCAACGATCGACCGCTGGCGATGCGGAGGCGCTCTAAACAGAGCTGAAACAAAGTGGCCACGCACGGAGCAGGCCCTCAGCCGCAAATGGTGGCCGGGTGGCAGAACCAGAAGAGTCCAGGCTAAAGAAGTGGACGCAGGTCCAAGTAAAAAATGCTGTGAAGTCTCCAAGTCTGAATCAGAAGACCACAAGGCCACGGCTCACTGTTCAATATAGTGCGCAGCATGTCGTTGAACAGTTTTACTTGTCGCAATGCTGGCGGAGGGCTTAACATGAATGTGCAGCATACGGTAGAACGTCGAGACAGGAATGGTGAGGCAAGCAGACCTGGAGGAGATAGCAAAAGAAGTGTTGCGGAAAGGTAGCAAAAGAATTGACACGACAAGATGACTCAGGAAATAAAGGTGGCTCAATCAAAGCTTTTTGTCCTATTGTGCAGGAATATTCGACACATCCAAGAGTGCTCAACGAAATCATTGAGCAAACAACATTTCCGTGTCTACAAACTTTATTGCACTGCAGCTGCTACTGAACATAATTTATGCATGCTTCCTTGACAAATGGAACTCGGGTCTACCCTATGGAAAAGTGCACGTTCTACGGCACGGGCTCGCCGAGGCAAAAGGCGCTGTTTAGAAATGACCACCTTGTGGTGGACATTGTGGTTGAGCATGAAACAGGCAGGTTCTATGTGCTGCAGCATGGTGTTGCTCAAGCAAAACATGTAAGACAGCAAACACAAAAGTCCAACTCAAAATTTAACAGACGCATACTTCTTATCAAAATAGCCGCCGCATCCACAACAACAGACGACCGGTGCAAACTCAGTCACAGACCCGAGATGAAAATGAACTTGCTCCGCTTTCTCTGAGCTGTCACTCAGGCAACCACAAGAATTTGGCGATGCTATCGTTGGGATGCGCGACCTGTGAAAGCCAAAGCTTGACAGCTGGCAACTGCTTGCAACATGATGCACCCAGAAGACCTCCCGAGTACGCTCCAGAACAGAAGCAATCGCCTGGTCCTGTCAACTTTCCATGCAGCTGGTATCAGAAAGCAAGGCCAAAAGCCTACTGCTACTCTCCTCTTCGGCCTTGCCGACGGTATCCTAGCGATCCAGGACTCCAGGCCCGAGGAAGTCCGAAAACATCCTTCGTCTCCGGCCCTGGCCTCGGCCTCGACCGCTGCTCCAGACCTGGACATCCAAACCTCTCGCCTCGGACGGACCGAAACTCTCGGCGAAACTCTCGGCCGATCCCAGGTCCTACACACGGAACCACACAGACCACAGAACCCTGCGTTTCAGCCGCGATCTCGGAGCGTGGTTTGGCTTCTCCCTCCTGGGGCAATGTCAACGAAAGTCGAGGGGAAACGAACATCAACTGTGGCTGGATGCAGCTGGGCACTCCTCGCATTCCGCGTCCGATCTCCAACGACGTCAGAAACAATCCCCGATCCCATGTCAAGTGAAATGCCGGCATGCCCACGTGAAACGCCCAAATGAAGCAAGGAACTAGGTCATTCAAGCAAGTCCCGTCTTCTGCACCGCATGCTGAAGCAAGGGTTTAGCCCGGTCATGGCAGCAAGCTGTGCTTGGGTGACGATACTGTGCAACAGGGTCAGCTGAGGCAAGGATAGGTTGTCCGACGAGTAATCAAGAATCCAGCATCCTTCAGCTCGACCACGACGTAGAGCCATGTGCAGGCTTTAAAAAAAGAACGCATCAGGAATGCAGTTCTCTGGTGGCACTCACGAGATGTTCCGAAACGCGAGTCCGAGTGGTAACCTTGTTCCTGCATGCTCCAACCCTGGAAGGCATGATTTCAAGCAAACCAGTCGGGCGATGCAGCATTGCCTCTTAAGCTCTGCTGCCCCCCTTCACACTGCAGGGATCAACACAAGTTGCAGCATGAAATGTTGCGCCGCCGCTCGGCGGCTGTCCTGAACTCCACCTACAAACCGAAGCGAGTGAACAAGAGTTCCTAGAAACAGAACCCTGAATCGCGAGAGGCAGGACCTCAGATGTCTCCGCCCACAAAGGCAAGGAGATGAGTAGAGGTGCCGAGACTCTACTCTCGGTGTTGAGGCGCACCCCGGCATTTCACAGTCCCTTTTTTGGGAATACTCGCATTTCTGCTCACACCGTTTGTCGGGCCACGTTTCCACAATCTTCTCCCATTTCTCCCCACATAGCGTGTCAGCACGGCGTACTTCGGTTCCGACCCAGCCACATCGGATCGTGTTCCCGCTTCTCGTCCTCAACGTCTGCTCCCACCGCAGTCTCACGTCCTTGTGGCTCTCGATGTGCAGAGCTGTCGACATTGTGGGGTGTGCTTAGGGCTTAGGGGCTTACGAAAGCAGAAGTTCATGCCCGTGCTGAAAAGGGCTACGTCCATTCTACGTGTTGGCACTTGATGCTTGGGTAAGCTGAGCTGCACATCCGAAGCAAAACGATCCCAGCCTGAAGCGAGGATTCCCAAGACTTGCGAACCAACTCCTTCTGCAGGATTGTGTGCCGACGAGTGCAGCGAGTCCCACAGGTGCACCTCCAGATCCTGCTCCATGGCATCGGATCCTACCTGAAACGAAGGGAGGAACAGGTGTTTGGAGCTCGAGCTGTGTAGAAGGCCTCTAAAGAGCCAGAGCCAAAGCTTTCCAGAACCCAAGCTCCACCTGAGAACAGAAGCACTCCACAGGATGAGTGCTGCACTGCTGGACTACACCGCTATGTCGGACCATCGAGGCTGGCAGGACCCCGGAACTGGTCCAGGTGCACATACAGCAGGTAGGTCCTCAGCAGGCACGCAAACAGCTCGCACATCCTTTCCCGAAACCCCATCAGAGGCAAAGGCGAGGCTTGTCTCAGCAGGACGTGAGAGAAAGACACGATCTGGCGGCACTCCAATGCTTAGAGTCTGTTCACAAGCTCCATGCCAGGCTTTGCCTCAAGCCCGCTCGTTTCGGCCACCTTCTTGCATCGCGACAGCCAGTTCCTAGAAGAGGCGGGGGGACCGTGCCCAGCATTTTGAAGTACATGTAGCTCCACCTTCGACCGCTGTAATCTCTTGGATTGATCGGTGCTCCCGGCACCAGTGGCTCCAGTGGAGTCCCGTCTGGGTTGGGCGGGCGCCTGAGCCAAGAGCCATCAAGCTCTACTGCCTTTGACATAACCGTGTGCAAGTTAGCATAGACCATTTCCATGTCCAACTCATGCACCCCCCCCTAGCACCCAAACCATTATCATAACAACCAAAACCTCAACCTTCAACCCGCCCAAGACCCATAGGTAGAACCTTAGGAAAGACCCATTTGAAGACCCAAAACCATAACAAACTACACCTCAACCCTATACCCACTAAAAGACCGATAGGAAAGGCCCACATGCTGGAACCACCAGAAGAACCATGCACGCCGACATAGAAAAACCCAACCTAAACACCATACACCTACACTCCCATAGAAAACGCGATAGTATCCACCCTAATACCCCTAACCTTGAAAATGGAAATGGTCTTCTCTAATAAATTTTACAACAATAGGAACAAGGTTTAGGAATAAGGTAATGGCATAATGTAGTTATAATCCATAAAGTCTTAAAGGTCTTAACTACAATATACTTACGAATCATCAACACTCTAATGATTTGAATTCCAGTATTAAATCATTAGAAAATTGCATAGGGACTATCCGGGTTTTCTTCTCCTTCTTCCAAAAGCAGGAAACAAACTAATTAGACCATTACCACATTCTATTGATGCGCTTAAGCAAGTATCGGGCGCGCAACTGCATTCGGGTTCGTGGCTCCTCTCAGGTGGTTTTTCTATGGAGGTGTGGGTGCAAGGGGTTTGGGCTGAGGTTTTTCTGTGTATGGTTCTTCTGGTGGTTCCAGCATGATGCATGTGGGTCTTTCCTATGAGTCTTTTAGTGGGTATAGGGTTGGGGTATAGCTTTTTATGGTTTTGGGTTTTCAGGTGGGTCTTTCCTGGGGTTCTACCTATGGGTCCTGGCGGGTTGAAGGTTGAGGTATGGGTGCTAGGGGGGTGCATGAGTTGAAAATGGAAATAGTCTATGCAAACTGTGCACACGATCCACAGCAGGTGAACATTATCCGAGTTTCAGGCATGTCATCCGTTGGAGGCATTTGAGCAACGAGCGTAGCTCGCAAGAAGGCCTGAAGCTTTGTGCACAAAGATGCGGACTCACTGTGGTCCCAATCACGGTACAAACCCTCGTCTTACCAATTCCCACCAGGTACACGTGCCTGGGGGAGCCGTTCCACAGAGATGCGAAGCGTGCTTGTCACGTCTCCTGCAGTGACATCACTACACGAAGTTTGAGAGTTAGTAGACAGCATGAAAACCACTGAGGAAGCAACCATCTGGCGGAACCGTGATGCGCTCGCACAAGACCAAGCCCTTGTCCTGGCTTTTTGATTCGCAAGCCGTAGTTGATGACTGAGAGAAGCGGGAAGCGTCCAGTTGCAACTTCGGCAGGTTGACGTTTTCCGAGCAATCTCCTTGCCAGCGCATCACCCTGTCCACGGTAAGCATGTGGAGCTGCAGCGGCACCTGATCTGCCAGACAGGAGTGGCAGGCATTCCTGACACTTCTCTATTCCCCAAACATCAAATCACCTCGTCGTCGAGGCCAGCTTCTCCCTCTTTCTCCCCTCCTGCCAAGCACTCGCAATCCGTCAGAACAACACATCTTGTACATACCGATGCAGCTGAGCCTTCCAATGGATCCTCGGGCTCTGGGGCCGTTCCAGGAGGACCAAAGATCCTTTTGTCGAGGCGTCGTTGGACCATGTCTGAAAACAACTGCCAAAGAGAACCAGTATGTATGAATTTGTGAGGCTCGTGCTGAATGGATATCTCGCCCCCAGTCTTTGGAAACACCTGCTGCAACATGTTGGATCAGAAAACCACACCGGACTGTCCCGATCCATCGTGCCTGGCCTCTGGGGGCAAGTTGGCCTCCAACATAAGCACGTACCTAGCTGGCAGTTCTTGCATCGGATGCAGCCGCATGCAAGAGCCCACGTGTCGCACTTCGCTGGTCCGTTTGCTTCCTGCTCAACGGGAAATTGTCATATGCGCGGATTGTGCCGGCAGTGCTTCCCATAGCATGCGCCAACATGGCTGCACGACAAGTCTGTATGCTATGTGTCAAGCGGATGCTGCTTCCACTGCGACAACCATGCGAAAAAATGCTGCATCACGAGCTGCGCTACACTCCCGTTACAAGCCCAAGCAGATAAATCTTTGGTTGTTGCCTCGTCGGCAAGCGGCAAAGACCTTCGCCACAGCAGATCAAATCGCTTCCAAAGGGTCTTGCCCGCAAGTGCATCACAGGGATGTTTGCCACCAAAATCCATACAAAATGCTGTATGCAAACTGATCAACCTGACATGTGAATTCTTTGTCAGAAAGCTCGGATCACAACATAACACGAAGGAGAGGCGACTTCAGCACTGTTGATACCGACCTGAGCGATTTCAGCGTCTCCAAAACCACGCACAGCTGACACCTTGATTAGAGTTGTATCAATAGCGGTGGCCTTTCAGGCGGCGTTGCTTTTGACATGTTCTCGTCAGAGGTATCGCGGAGCTGCGACCACTCGGACCCAGACCAGTTTGCACAGCGATTTTCTGCAGGCTCGTCATCTTTCGATTCCTGCACCCACGTCCAAAAGCGAAGGAAGGCAAAGCGAAGCAGCACAAGCAAGCTGCCCGTCCAGTTCTGACACGCGCAAGCAAGACCTGCATGACTCCGAGAGTCTCAGAAGGCACTACTGCACTAGGTGCTGTTCTTCGGCTCTTGCTGAGTTGCTGGCAGTTGGATGTAAGGCCACAAGGTCACATCGGTCAGATGGCAGAGAAGCTGCAGTGTCTGTAAGCTGTCGGCGTAGGCCTGGCGGCTGAAAACACCGCTGCTGCATCCCACTAAATCTGCGACTCGTACCTCTGACACCAGAATCTCCGACTTCGCCCAAACCTGCAGCTGGAGCGACGAGTGCAACGACAGCCAATCTTCCGCATCCTGAGGTCATTGCACAGTAGCCGGTGTGAATCGGGTATTGCAGCGGGCCCACCTAAGAAACATGCAGATTTTCGCAACGGATTCCATGCTGATTTGACGTCGAAGCACTGAGGGCCTATCTGGTAGGAGTGCCATCTGATATTTGGACAGTGCCTTTGCTGGCTCCACGAAGTCTACAGATGACCTGACTGCGAGTGCACACAGGATCTCAAATCCGACCACCGAGAAGTCTTGAGACATCATGCTTGGACCCGGGCTTTCCTCCATTTAACAACAAGCCTTCCACCTCATCCGCGCAAGCACAGTATGCAGCTGTTCCGCACTCTTTGCACGACCTGTCTGTGCAGGCCGTTCATCGGTGCTACAGTGTGCCTGAGGCACAAGCACTGACAGAAAGCACCGACCCCGCCAGCTCAGCAGCATCGTCGCTCACCAGGTACCAATGCTCACCTGAAGAAAAACACATCTGAAACAAAACAAAAGGACCAGGGGCACGGATGATCTTGGCCTGGTGGCATAAGCGAAGAGAAGCTTACACTGCTCGGTTGGGCGCCGTCACCAACCTGGCAAAACATCTCCGAGCAGCATTGCCTTGTCGACGCCAGCAATCTGAGAAGCGCTCTGTCAGATTGATGCAGTCCGGTGGCTCCAACACCTGCCGTTCACGACACTTCGGTGAAGCACCACTTCTTGCAAATTCTCGTGTCCCGCCTGTTGGCCAGTGATGGGCCTCCAACTGTTCACAGCCTGCAGGCCACTCTGCAAAGTGTGCTCCCGACTACAAGATTCAGCACTTGACACTCCGAAGCTTCAGAGCACCTGTAAGACACAGCTGCACGGAGACAAGGGCGGCGGTGTCTGCAAGGAGTTTCGGCCCACACAAGGCATATCTTACAACACCTCTGGGACGGTGCGCCTCTGACAGTCGGCCGTTCTGACCCAATGGCTCGTAGCTGAAGATTGTCTGAAGCCTCGGCAGGTTGTCAGATCGGTTTCGGCCTGCCTGGGCCCCTTCACTCCTAGACACACTCAGACCTGCAGTCGAGGCACCAGGGAGGTCCAGGCTTGGGCTTTGAATCCCCGGCTTCCAGGCGGTTCCTGCCGTCGTGGTGCCCGAGAAGCTTCCCCGCGGCTTTGCACTCCGGTCCGATCCTGGAAGCTCCTTGCTCCAGCTCTTGCAGCACCAAACAAATCCGCAGAAGCCAAGTCTTGGGTGGCATATAAGCCTCGTCGCTAGACAAGGAGACGCTGTGTCCGCGAGCGCCTGAAGGCCTTGCCTGCGCACGGTCCCCGTCCCAGCACGTGTCCAGGGTGGCTGTGAGAACATGTTCGCCGGGTGGTATGTAACCTGTCAGCTTCGGTGTAAAGGGGACGGCCCATGAGCCATCGCAGTGCCATGTCTCTGGGGACTCCCACTGCAGAACGTTGCGCTTGTCGTCTCCAACTCTTCGAAGCTAACCCAATTTCCTCCTTGGAGCCTCGGCTCAGGAGAGGGGCTGAGATGTGAAGATGCCTAAGCCTTGGCCGCCTTGGCCGCCTTAGCCCGTCACATCCATTGAGGCGCATTGGTGGCTGGGTGCCTGGCTGTGCCTGGAACTCCTGGATCGAGCTTTTCCTTGCAAGCGGCTATTTGCGTGGCGACGGTACACGCCGACGAGGCAGCAGAACAAAATAATGACGACCGAATTAGCGAACTAAGTCGTCTGGAGACAACACGACAGGATCGTGGCACACTCGCATGAAGGGACCCAGATTCATCAATGCCCTGTTGCGAAGAACATCGAAGAACTCACCTTCTACGTTATAGGGTCTCACCTCATGGAAACGGACGCGGTGACCGGCAACGTGCAGGTCGGCCTCTGATACGGGAAGCCCTAGCTAGAAGCCAAAGATTAGCAAAAACACAACGAAAAATCCGGAAGCCCGATCTTACCGTCTGCTTTCAGGCATCGGCACCACCTGGAAAGCAGGTGCAGCGCACTTACCCCACATACGGATCGTCTCATCCAGTGTTGTACGTTGTTCCTTGTGTGTGGCATACCTGGTACAAAAGCTGTCATCTCATGTTAGTTTCCAGGTCGGAGTGGGTGTGGGCGGGTCTCGGTGGGTGTCGGTGGGGCTCAGAGTTGGTTCACGTCTTCTGCAAGATCCGGATTTTGTCGGGTTTTGCCCTGAAAAAACCCGAGGCGCTGACATCAACAGCGGATGTGGATTTTGATTCGGCCAGGGTGCCACCCAGGGCCTCCGCTGTGGCAGGACAAGGACAAGACATCCTGAGGAGGTACAAATGACTGAGGGACAGTACATGTCCGACATTTCCGGCTCTTCTTCCTGCTCCATCTCTGGCCCTGTCAGATGGTGAAGGAAAGCAGACAGATGGGTGGTAAGGGCAGTTGTGCCTTCGCCGCTTTGAGATCCTCCCTGCGTGGGGCCAGAAGTCCAGGCTGTCATGAAATCAACCCGAAAGTCCGGGCTCCTGGTCCGTTCGCTTCTCTGCACCCTCGCCCTCGCCGGAGTGAGTGTTTTGGCCGTCATCATCCTGGAAAGACGCACGGACCCATGCATCTCGACGGTGAGAGATTGCGGCAAGAGTCCTTGCCTCATCAAGGTCGTCCCGGTCAGAATCATCAACCTGCAAACTCAAGGCTGACGAGGCGCTGCAAGCGCAAGCTGCCCTTCGGGCTCCTCCTCATCCACTTGGACGGGTTGTCCGTCCTCAAAGGAGGTGATACGCCTCCCTGCTGCCATGCTACTGGAATCTCATCCAAGGCACAGTGTTCCCTGCGTCTGCGGAACCGTCCTCTTCCTGTCCGGCAATCGAAGAGGCTTGCGTTGCTCTTGTACGAGCACTGCGGCACTGCGCGCGTCCCCGGGTTTTCTCCTCGCTGTCTGCATCCCTTACCTGTTTGCGAGGCGTGCCTCAGAAAATCTTGGAGACTCTCCGAGACGCGGAAAAGTAAGACCACTGCCACCGGGCCGAGGCGCCATGTTGAGGAACAAAGGCGTCTGCCTTTAGGCGCACCTGAAGCAAGATGCCATCTGCAAATCAGACAACTTGCCATCATTGCCATGAGTACCGAAGCCTGTCGTGGCTCTTCTTCCGTTTCACAGACGAGAAACTCCAGCAAAGCCTTGTGTGGATGGCATGCCATCGGCAAGCGGCACATCAATCGCCATCCACCGATTGAGCCTCCTGTGGCTGATTTCCCAACTTCAGGTTCTGCTCCTGTCCTGCCAATCGGTCTGAGCTGAAGCTATATACGTGAATGGTGCCTTGAGGGACGTTGCAAAAACTTCGCTGCTTCTCAGCCCGATCCCATACTGCGGTCGTCGGAAGTGGGCTGTCGAGGCTGCAGGAGCCTTTCTGTTCGCCTCTGCTCTGTCACCTAGTTCGGCCTTTGTCGCATTGAGTCTTAGCTCCTTCAAGGTGGTAGTGCTCCAAAAACGTTCCGGAAGGCTTTTCGAAAGACTTCCGAAACCCGCTCTTAATGCATGTGGTTCCGGGAACGCTTCTGGGAAAGCTTTGTGCAATGCCCTACTTGCCCTGAGACTCTTCTTGACAGGCTTTCATCTGTTATGGGAGTAATCTCTGCGTGCTGGAGCGAATGAATCCGAGAATATACGGTTGTCGATCAACAGGCATTTACAACAGTGCTCCAAACACAAAAATGTTCCGAGTACGACTTCGCGTGCGACAGCTGACCAGAAGTCGGGCATATTCCGGGCACTGTCCATCCTGCCGGGAGGACGGATTGTGCGCCTTGGTTTGCACTGCTCTTGGGTCTCGCATAGCCTCAAATGTTTCATCGGGTTAAAAAAACGCTCGAGGTTGCAAACGTGCTTCGAGCATCACAACCCTACATGTTGCATCCTTTCCAGGACTTGGGACAGCTCGCCGCATGGGTCATCGAGTACCCACTGCAGGAACAGTATGTGTGCAAAGGATGTAGAAGTTGAATCCACATGGGCCGTGCAGGTCTTGACGAAAAAGGTGTGGCGGCAGTATGAGTTCCACGCTGCGTCCCTCCGCTTCCCCTCCTCCGTCTCTGTGCAGCTTAACCATCACTTCTTCTCATCTCTGCCACTTGCCGGTTATACAGGCTCGGGGAGCTCGGGTGCAATCTCACGCAGCAGTCAACTTTGTAGATGCTGCGCAAACACCCTCGAACTCGCATATCAACACGCGGAGGCCGAAGCCCTAGGAATGACCGCTACGTTCCAGACAGCTCTCGACAACTAGCAAAGCTTCAGGAGCATCAACGTAAACTTGAAAACAGACAACCTGGACACCGGGATATGCAGAGTCCTGGTGGAAACATCGGGGCCTGGCAGCTGCGAAACTAAAAGCTAACCACTCTCTCTCTCTCTCTCTCTCTCTCTCTCTCTCTCTCTGCGAAGCAAAGCATCGACCTGCATGGGTACAGCGACTGATTTGCGAGGCCCCGCTTGGGCCTTGCCGCTTGCATCACAGCAACAGAGTGCCCAGCCACTGCACTGACTGACATTGGCTGACCTCTGCCTGGGGAATGGATGGCATCAACTCAGCACGCTGGCGAGCTTCGAAATCAACCTGCGGTGGCAGTCGTGAGGGACGGAAAAGTTCCGGCCAGCGTGAGCAAAGTATGACGTGCTTACACAGCTGTGCTGCTGGACCTGTGAGCTCGTTTGCAACGTGCAGAAAGTCCGCACAGCTTTCAGCCCCTGCAGAGCAGACCAGGAGAGTGGCCTGGCGGCGACGTCGATTGCGCTTTTCGAAGCGAAAACGGGCATGCGGCTTTGGAACTTGTCGGGAAGACAGCTGGTAGGGAACCCAACCCGTGAGCGCGGTAATGCATGGCCTTGGGAGTTCTGCTGGTCGGAAGCACAGATCACAAGCAGAGCTCTGAAGTCCCGAACAGTACCGGCATGTTGAGATCGTCCTGAAAAGCTTGTATCCTGGGCCGGCTTCCACGCGGATCCTCTGTCACTAAACCGCATGCATTGATTTGCTCTCACGCTTGCTTGGTCTGCTGCAGAGCTTTTGCCAAAAGCTGTGGCCAAATGATGTTGATATCCTGGCTGCACGGAAGAAGCGACGCCTGACATGCAGGATGTCGACAATTGCGGTACTCAAAACGATGGTGTTTGTCTGGACCTACGTCTCTCTCTGCAAACATAAGGCCCCGGCATAAGTATTGTTGCCATGCATGGCATACCCCACTGGAACTACGTCATCGATGAGAACCTCGCTCAAACCGTCAAAATGACAGAGGAACAAGCCTGGCCAACAGATCGTCGTTGCTGTCAAGTGGCTTGTCTCCACTTGCCCTGAACGAAGAGCTTGACAATGTACTTTCCGTGTGGATTGTAGAGCCTGGAGCCCAGTGGTTGCGGGAACAATCACACCAGCTTGTCCTTGAAGAGGGGCAGCCCGAGACTTCGGACTGACGGCTCATGCTTCGCATAGACACCCACGATTCAACAAGACAGAGCCGACACCCGAAGAATCCAGTGCCTTGAACTGCACCGTATGGTCCTAAAATCTTACATTATTTGCAAGACATGCCAGATCGTCGGCATTCCTTCCTCGTCTTGTGGGTGTATCAACTCCTGTTCCGCCGAGCTCACATGAACACCATGCAGTGCCGAAGCCAGGATTGGGCGAGAAGCAGACAATCGAGCAGGCTCTGTCCCACAGAAAGCACCCTCCCGGCAGCAGAAGTCTGTGCTCGGCCACAGCAGCAAACTGAGAAGCGATTGCTTGACTCAGCTGCGGCCTCTTCAATTCGTGCATCATACATGTTCTGGACCCCATATCGCTTGCCAGTATGAGGCTGCGGCGCAGCATCGTCTAAGTCGAGCAACAACTCGCGTGAGCGGAACTCCGACTGGCTGACCACCCGAGCCTGCATCGAAAAAAGAGACTCAAGCCCACGCATCCTTCCAGTCTAACAATTTGCACGAGTGTGCCTACCCTCACAGACCAGATTCACCACAGCATTTGGGCTGGTAGGTGCTAAGCGCTCTCCCATCGAACATGAGAGTTGCACTTTCTGCTTCAGCCAACATCGAGCATGCACGGCAGACTTCGCTCGACACAGTCGCGTCGTTTTGCCAATCTCGCTGCCTCCTTCGCCTCTCGGCCTCCCAGCCTCCTCCCTCCCTTCCGCCCTGTCGCTCTCCCTCGCGTGACTCTGAAACTACCCAGAACACATCGCAAAGCTTGAGAAGAGTTATCATGTAAATCAGGTGCGTCGTCGCAGTCGCCGCTGAGGAGATGCAGCCTGACTAGTTGCATCAGGCTAAAATGTGGCTGATTTCGTTGTGACAATCCGCCCTCCGTCCCTCTCACTCCGTCCTCCCACCCTCGCTCCCATGCACCATGCAGTGAATTGCAACCAATGATATCAGCGAGGAACATCAGAAATGCCCACAGCATATGCGTCTTATACATTATATGACAAAGGAAAGGGACGCAACACAACCGAAAGCCATACCGGGCTAACAAGCGTGTGACTGAAATCGGCAATCAGACAACCTGACAAGAATCTGCGAGGATCTGCAAGGACGTCGCCTCGCCATCATATGTACAGTCTGCATATTGCCTGCCAGGGAGGTTGTATGCACGTGTAGACAGGTAGGTCTCGGGCAACACTGGCAAGGATGGCTGCATGGTGGTTGGCTTCTCAGGCGGCTCCTCCGAGTAACAGGCAAGCACTCAGAACTAAAACATCAGATGAATGCCCTATCTTCGTTCTTGCCGGCACCTCTGGCTGGTTCTTGGCTTTAGCCTTGGCTTTGGTGTCTGCCTGCCAAAACAGATGCACAAGCCCGAAGTCAGCCATCGTAGCATAGAAGCTCCCTGCCTTGGGTTTAGCCTTTGCTTTCGGATCCTGCACAAGGGAGACAACAAAGCTAACGGCCACACAAGTGGTTTGTCGCGCCCGACGAACAAAGCACTCTTTGTAACGGAGGGATGTCCGGAACCGGCTCTGGAGGCTCTTCTTTCAATTCCGGAATTGGCTGGGCCTGTCAGATTGGCTGAACGTCCTCTACCACACCGCTAGCGTGAATGCCACACTGTGCCTGCGGCTCGGGCTCCTGCCGGCCAAGAAATGACAGCAATGTGGCAGAAAAGCGCACGAAAGGATGACTCTTGACTTCTTACTTCGCCTACATTAAACTTGCAATATCAATGTATTTGTATCAATCTCAATCACCCCCCCAGCGACAGACCATTGCGGGAAACATACAAACGTGGCTAGTTTGAACAAGTAGCCGTAGGCTATTGTGGTTGGTATGAAGATGGCATGATGAATTTCGAGTCCATCGTCGTGCAAAATGTCATCATGTCGTTTACATAAATACTGTGCTATTCACTACGGAAATTTAACACCGAAAATGCTGTGCTTTTTGAGTTGCTGTGCTGCTGGTTCCATTGCTACTGTCGTCGCGGTGATGTAACACATCCACCATAATCCACGTTGTTTCACAAAGCACTTGCCTCATCCTACAGTTGTCACTGTCATGAGTCATGACCAATCCGTCACTTCTAATGTTTTGGCTGGCACAGCAAAGGATTCCTAGAGACATCCAGAATTCCGTGTGTTCAACCTTGGCTTATGTGGATCAGCAGCGTTGCACATTGAGACAATCACATTTACTCTACATGGAGAAAGTTCTATCTAACGAAGTTCAGCTGGTCTGGCCGAGTCTAGTCACGAGCTTAGCACTGCGACGGATTGAACGGATTAGAAGAACAATAATCAGAATCACTCAACTGTGACAACTATGACGATGTGCTTTTGGGCAAACTTCTGTACTGCCACGATTATGCATGTCAAGTAACTGCATATTGTGAAACAAACGCTGACGAAATTCACCTGTGTGTCCGGTACAAGACTAGATGGAAATCTCTGCTTCAAGACTCTTTGTCTACGTTTGCAAACTTTACCATTTGAAAATTATTATTTTACGGACATGCTTGCGCGGGCTTAAGCTACATACTTCTTAAGATAAGTACGCAAGATGTTTGTGCGATATCAAAACATCGCACCAAAATTCTGACATACACGATTCTTTGGTGGTCTAGAGTTTGATAAGTGTAAAATTTCCAAAGCGATCCGGCGATCTTGGACAGATGAAAACCCTAGTTCGACCAGAAAATCCAAGCTCCACCAGTAAGATTGACATAACCTGCATGAGAATAAACATGCAAATATCAACTTTTCAAAACAAGGCAGCAACGTGCAACAACTTCGACTAAATAAATACCACGAACACAACCCAGAGTAATGCCAAGATTATTAAGCCGCAAAGACAATATTGCAACTATCGTTCATTTTCAACCTGGCAATCCTGCTTTGGCAGGTTCATAAACAAATATGTTGCCTGACTGACCCATCATTCTAGCAAGAGGGTTTCTGTAAGTTGACAAATAGTGTTAGCATAGGCGTGGATGCTCCAAAAAAATGGATGGCAGTTTTGTACTTACCAAAATGTGACCAACGAGTACATGTACTTCAATAACATTGGGTTACTCTTAAGTTAAGTGAATAACAACTGTTGAACTATAAGACAATTACCCATTGGCATATGAAATAGCCAATCTACTTGGTGTGATGAACTAGCCGTAGAAGGACAAATGACTGAGAATGTAAGTGGAGATTCGATAGGTTGCAGATCAATGACAACATACTGTGCTTCCAATCGTGGGGCACAAATCGCTACTACTGCTGTTGCTGGCTGCTGATTTGGAAGGCAGGCACACGTCAGGAATAGTGTAATGGTGGAAATTCGACACATGTAGGGACAGTTTTCTGATATCTCCAAGTGAGGTGCGGCTTACTGCGTATACGACATGAAGTGAAGAACACACAGATTTCTGCCAAGGACTGCAAATATGCCACAATAACTTAAAAGAGGAAGATTCAATTAGGAGGTGCTGAAAACAACAACGACAGCTTACACAACCACCACACACTTACTCAAACGATCAATGTAGATGTGTAAAGGCTTGATGACTGAGAGTAGTGGGACAGGCCGCACACGAGGGGGGTCAGGGTTTAGGACAAGCAAAACGCAAACGGCTTCGGCGTGATTGAAGCCTTTACGCCGGATACTGGGTTGAGGCTATAGAATTTAGGATGTACTGTTCTCGAACGCAGACACCCCAAAAAAAACCTCACTAAGGCCGCGGTGCGAAAGTGGCCTGAAAACCTTAGCCTCTGAAACCCCATAGGTTTCAAACCCTAAACCCTAAATCCCAAAACCCTAAACCAGAAACCTCAAAACGGTAAACCCTAAAGCCCTTAAACCCCCAAACCCTGGTCCAACAGACACTATGCCTTTCGGAGATACCGGAAGACTCGGGAATCATACTTCGAGATCTGATGCAGATAGTGTGAGTTTGTGACACATGGAAATCTAGGTCAGCAATTTAGCACGTGCAAGCACCAAAGTTGAAAGAGTGAATCTGAGAACTCATTTAACATATTGTACATGGCCATTGGTACGTGATACGATGAATACCCAAGAAAGGGAGGTTGTACAAAAAAGCCGTGCGCATAAACATATGCACCAGCAACTTAAATCCTAGAAGGAACCTCATAGATGCTTGGGTATGAGGTTTAGCGTTTTGGCATGGAGATTTCGGGCAATGGAGCGTGGGTTTGGTTTGAGAACTGAACAGTGAAGTCGTAATGGGCGGTGTGCAATACCAAAGATGAAGGACGGCACCAACAAACAAAACGAAGCCAAAGATCCAGAGACAATGCCGATTTGATGAGTTTGGTGTTTTGGGTTCTTGGCTTTGGGACTTGCTGGATCTTGTCTATAGTGCCAATTCGCCTTAAACGTTCGAACGCAAAAACATTGAAATAAAAATCTACCTTCTCCGGGATCTTTGGATTATTTGCTGTCGTTTTGGGGCCGTGCGGTGAAGGAAGCCACAGGAAAGCAGCCAAGAAATGATGAAAGAAAAGACATCTCCTGCACTCTCGGCAGATCTTGGCTGGTTTTGTTGGTTTCGTCTTGGGTTGAAGGCTTGAAGCCAAACGAAAACGGGGCTTGAACCCAAACCCAGGTAAAACGACAGAATCGTCAGTGCGAGCGGTGGCCTGAAGGGCTGCTCTGTCATGGAGGCCGGAGGGTGTGAACACATAACTTCATACACTGACAAATCCGCCCAGTCCCCGTGCCCTCCCCTGGCCCCCGGGGCCAGACCCTCTGGCAATCGCATCACCTTGATCCGAACGATGTAGCAACATAAAGAGCACCTGTGCCTGCTTACCTTTGCGGTGATAGGTATGGTGCGGTATAGCTCATCATGTACACTCTGGGAAAGTGCATAATCTCGGGTCTGCAGTGCGTTGTTTTCAGTATGAAGGCATGTAAAACCTTGTATACATATGCATGTCTGGAAAACACGTATACCTGTTCATAATATATACGTATACACATATATATGGAGATATAAATATATATATATATATATGCAGGTTCAATAAATTCATACATACATACACACACGCATGCGTGCATGCATGTGGACATTCAGTCATATATTCATACATATATATGTACACACGTACATACGTACGTACATACATTCATACATGTATACATACAAGTCCGTCTCTATGCCGTCCAATGTGCCCTCAATGCCCTGCTGTCGCATATACGGCACAAATCCCACTCAAAACTCAAATAAACAGGTTTTCGGAAGGGCTTCTGTACAGCAGTGCATCTGGGGGCCTCCACATTGTTTGTGCTGCTTTGGCGACTCGTACTAACAACTTCCCACCCATGTTCGCAGCATCCAACAGCCCAACAACCGAAGGCAATCTAAGTGTGAAAAGCGGAGGATTCCACTCAACTCTCGGTCACAAAGCCCAAGGCAGCCGATCGCAGATCAAAGCAAAGCAAGCGGTGCAAAGCAGGACAATCAGAGATTAAAACCGTAAGTTTGACGCTCAGCGGAAAGGCAACACTAGAACCCCCAGGCGCTAGCGGACCTTTTGCTGGACCTGACGCAGGGTCGGTCTTGAGCAGTCAAGCTGCGTAGTGAGACAAAGTTGGTCTGATTCCTAACCAGAAGGCAGAAGCACATATACGCATGTCAGTGACAAATCACACCCCCCTCGACGCGAGCTCACGCGTGAGGAGAGCGGAGTTTAGGAGAGTCACATCCACTGATTGTGCACCGAGCCACACCTCTTCCGGTCAGCTAAGCTTGAAGCAATTAAGAACCATTAGATGTGGGTCGGTCTCTGCATCTGGATCATACCTATGTTTCACTTCTGTACAAACGCAGCCTTTTGTGATCGTCAGGCGCATAGCGAGTTGCCAAGTGATCGGTGGCAATCGGATGTTCCATCGGATCTATGCGGGTTTTACATATTAGACTCAATGCGCTCAGAGTGAGAACTCGGCAGCATCGAGTGTCCGTGAAAAGAGAGGGACACACGAGGAAAATACCATGGCTAGCCATTGTACCCCTGTGGGTCTTCTCAGCGCGGCGCAGGCAAGGAAGGCTGAGGAAGTAGCGGAAATTGTATCATAGCCGGGTTTCACCATCAGAATCCGCCTGACCCGAATGACGTGTGGAGCATGGGTCAGAAAGACTCAACCGGATTCACCTTGCAGTGACACAATGCATCGCCACGCAGGTTGACGGTCGTTACCTACGAGTCGTGGGGCTACGGGTGCGGTCCTTGTTTCCTCGTCCGGAACCGCCCCTTCCTTTGTTTCCCTTATCACCCTTCCCTCGGCCTTTCTCCTGCTTTCCTTTTCCTTTCTCGGCTTTCCCTCTTCCTTTGCCCTTCGTCGGTTGCCTCGTGTCATCAGCTTCATCGATGAGGCCTGTCACGTTTGAGCCAGTTCGGGATTTGCCCTTGGCCGTTGTTTCTTTGGCCGGGCCCATCGTGCGAGATCGTGGCTCAGTCGAAGCGGAATCGGATGGAGCTGGAGGTGCGGGATCCGCAGTCTCAACAACACGCTGTTGTGTACGCCCTCGCGCCTCTGCACTAGTAATCACCCGACCAGGAGTTGGCCGCACAATCGAAGGAGCCCATTTCTCGTCGCGGGCTGATTTCGAAGGTGGGTTCGAAGCAGTGCGAGTATTTGGTGCAGGGAACTTGGGGTTAATCCGTTCCTGCGTAGTAGCGGACGTGCCTCCAGGCGAGGCAGCTCTTCCCGCTCCTGTTTCCTCGGCAGAGGGAGGAATCACGCCAGCCGCCTTCATATTGATAGGGTCATCGGGATTTGCATTCATCGAAATGATGACATTGGCGACTTTCTTCCTGACAACAGGCAGCGTGTTCGGTGCGTGATACATGCGAATAATATCTTCAATCGTCGGGTTGTCCAAATCAGGCTCCGGAACCCGGGTCTTCATTCGCAGTACCAAGGGTAGACCCATTTGATCGGAGTAGGGTGCCCTTCCTGAGACCATCAGTGTCTCCCCATCAGCGTGGGGGACATTGTAGCCCGATTGCCTCGACGTCTTCCGACTCGGTGGGTTAGACGGAGGCGGCATCTCGCGAGGCGGGGGCGGATTCGTCTCAGGAGCGACACCTCCGAGATGCTCTCGCCCAGTGCGTTGTGACTTCGGGTCGGGTCGGATCGCCCGTTCGAGCTCAGTATCATCCTCGTCCTCGTCATCCGGAGGAACGGGGACGGCATGAGCTTCGGGGATCGACGCGTGCCGTTGCTCAGTGGCCTGCACTCTGCGCTGAGGCGTATCAGCACGTCGTCGTGCCCGCTGAGCTGCGACGTCGAACAGATCTTGAGGCTCTTCTAGTTCATCGGGTAGAGCCTCGAAGACATCTTCGTTCTTTTTCATAAGAACAGGGTCAGTTCTCTTAGTATCGGGGAGCTGATCCTTTACGCCTTCAACAAGATTGAAGAACGTCTTCTCAGTCGCGCGATCATCGTCGAAACATTCCTTAATCTTGACAGAGTGATCGCGAATGAACTCCTTGAATTCCTTACGCTTCTCATCAGGCGTTTCGGGGGCATCAAGGAGTGCCGTATTCCCATCAGCGAAAATCGTGAATCGGGAATCGGTATGGTGCGGGATGAACTTCCGCCCCAAAGGGTCCAAATCACGCCAATTGATGGCTTGGACATCGGGTTCTTCTTCTTCCCCTTTGCCTTTCCCTTTGGGCTTCTCAGTTGCCGCCGCAGTTCCTTCGATCTCCTCTGCTTCATCGTCAGAGATGTAGCCAGGTTCACCTTTCATCGGAATGCCGTAGCACGTCGTGAGGGTAACCTTGGCAAGGAGCGCGGAAAGGCTTTCACTATCGACACGCATGTATCGCTGATACTTTTGCGTGTCTGTGATAGTGGCACGGAACTCATCCAACGTTCCAAACTCGGTGGAAAGTCGAATTTGCCTTCTCATCGCCAGATTGGCGTTCTGCAATGGCAGATGCGCAAGCCGAATTTTCTCGACCATGTCTGAGTCGACGGTATAATCGATCGTCCCCCCTGTGTAAAAGGGGGAGAGATAGCCGCGCGACAGGCAGACTCGGTATGCGCGTTGACAGTGGATCGACCATCGTGCATAGTAGCACAGCGGCTTCTCGCGGCATGTGGCGAAGACCGCGCCGAAGTGCTTGACTATCGTGATTGCACAGGCGATCGATTGCGAGTTGAGGAACTCTTCCACACCGCACCGAGCTTCCTTACCAGTGATACCGGCAACAAGCCTCTCAATGGAGATGTCCAATCGAATGGCGCCTTGAATCGTTCCGCGCACGCTCTTCTTGAACAATTCCACTTCTTTCGGCGATGTATCAGCTGCAGTGCATTTGATCGGTGGCACTCCGAAGAACGCGGTTTGCCTGTGGTCCTCAGCGAGTGACCTAGACACCGGGAAATTCCTCAGCTGCTTGATTGCAGGGTACTCGTGAAGTCGGAATTCTTTAAGCTCGTTTCGCTCAATGAGCTCGTTGAGCCATTCGGCATGACTTCCATAGTACTCGACCTGAAATGGGTTCACAGGATCGGCGTAGAACATCCCATCAGGATAGTGAATCGGCTTGGTGCAAGAGTGACACATGTGGAGACCCACCGGGAATGATGCTCCGCACATGGGGCAGTCGAAACTAGCAAGCGGCCACGTTTCTCGTTTGTGGTCTCCTCTCTTGGGGCCAGTGCCGAACTTTGGGCCTCCAACATATTTGAAGGCCGTGTTGAACACTAGGGATCCCGTGTCCATGAAGTATGCAATGGGCATACAGGCGAGAGGGATACTGTCTTTGATCGCATAATATCCCCTCGGGTGGAATACAATCGGATTGATTCCCGCCGCAATCATGTGCAAATCAATCGCAAACACGATCATGCGGTTGGATCCCATCCCTTCAGGGAGCATGGATTGTGATGACGCGGTGTTCGAAAGCGTCTCACGCCCCGGGTTCATTCGGACGTTCATGTACACCTCTTCCCACTCATTGTTGTTCCCAGATCCGGGAGCATACGGGAGCAGAGTGAGGAACAGCCGTCCTTTCGGAGGATTGATCTTGCAATCGCTCATGTACCCGAAGAATTCGCGAATCGTTGCGCATCCCCATCCATACTGAGGGTGGTATCGGGCCACATTTCTTTTCCTCTCGCCAGCGACGTATTGATCCTGAGCGAGCTGGATAAATGGCCCGTGCTGGCACTTGGTCAGCAGTCGGAATCGGTTGAAGTTATCAGGGCCGAAACCGTAGGTGGCTCGAATGCCAACAAATTGAGGACTTCCATCGTTGTCGATCGTCGAGTAGAAGAACTCAAACATTCGGTTGTTGTCCGTCCGAGCGATCTCCATAATGCATCGGGTAGTGATCTCGGTCGGTTCGCCTTGCTCATCCAGAATATTTGTCTGGAGAAGAATTCGGCCATCGTTCTCTCCGGCGTTGGCCTTCATGTATTCCCTCTCACGCTCCATGTACATCGGAATGACATCGAAAGCGATAATGCCACTCTGGTCGAAGCGTGAATACAAGGGAATGCCCCTTTCTTGATCCTGGGGGCGATTCTGCGTTCTCTCAGCAGTAGCGGAAGGATACTCCTTCGTTTGCGTCAGCACTCGGAACAGCAGTTTCCGCACCAAGTTGATCATTCCTGCGTCCGGAATCCTGGCAGCAGGGATGTTTTGTGCGTCGTCGATCAACAATCGGCTGCATGACACGGATGTTCTGCCGACGGATCGGAACTTTGCCTCCTTAGCATTGTATGCTCGGACAGCGTCATTGATCTCGCGGCAATCCTCGTAAGACTCCGGTCGGAGGAAAGAATCGTGATCTCCTTTTACCGGTTTCTTGTGAAGTGCGACGTTCAAGTACACCGTCTGATTCGAGGACAGCATAGCGAATCGGCGCCTCGAATACTTGCGCTGTTCGTCAGTCGGTGGGAGACAGGTCGCGGAGACCAGCCGACCATGGACGGAATCATCGATGCCCATGTCGAGTCCCGGGACGACGAAGTCAGTCAGTGCAATCGGGACGGACGTCATTTCATACTGCACAATCGGTGCAATAGAGTCGACACCCCTCTCGGGCATCTGGTCAGGGCGATGAATCGTTGTCGCCTTGATACCAGGGCCCTCGATCCGGAAGTTTCTCGGATCATTTGCCGCCTGATCGGCTGTGGTGCTGGCCGGGTCAATGTCGATATCCGGCCCTCGAGCACCGGAGAGCGCGGCTCCCTGAGCAACCATGTCATTCGGAGTACTGGAACGCAGGCCGTGTTCCGGAGGGTTCTCAGCGGTTCGGGCAGCTGGCGGCGGGGCCTTGCCGGGGACCTCGTCTTGCAGCTCCTTCCCGCTACCCATATCTGCGTCCTCCTCGGGTTTCTGCTCGGGTTTCTGATCGGCCGTGTCATCATCCATTTTGGTATCATCGTCATCCTCCTTTGCACTCTCTTTGGACGCCCTCGGAGGTGCTGCCGCAGTAGGCGGAGGAGGAGGAGGAGGAGGAGGAGGAGCCACGTTTGGCGGAGGCGGCGCAGTCGCGCGCTCAGATGCAACACTAACCTGTTCAGTGGACGGAAGATCGTTGTCCGCCGCGCCTTCACCCTGACTACTCAGGGCACCTGAAGCATCACTGCGACGCGAGGAAGAAGCGGCAATAGATCGGGCATGCTTCTGGAACTCACTCGCAAGGAATCCAGCAGTGTTCCGCAGCTGTACTGCCATACTACGCTGGAACTGGGACAATCTGTCATCCCCAGATCGACCGGTAGTGCCGTAGCTCAAGTCATCGGTGAGCCCCATCAGGCTCTGCACTGGATCTTCCTCCGGCTTACGGAACTCAGTCACTCGTCGTTGCATGGCGAAGCCCGGTGGCAGCTTGAGGTCCTCTCTTGTCAACCTTGCCGCCGTGTTATTCACCAGGGCCACCCGCATGGATTGAATGACTTTTCCAGGGGTAGGCGCAATGAGGTCCGGCCAGTCATCGGGAGTCGGAACCTCAAGGTCCTCCGGCTTGAACACCATCTGTTCAAAGGACATCGCACCCATGCCGCGGTGTCGGATGGCAATCTGCAATGACTGGTATGTGTTGAGAAGCGATCGGGCCATACCATATGTTGAGGGAATGTGCGGATGGAACACAGGGAGGGTCGACATGCTTGCAACAACTGCATCCAGGTTGGAGATAATCGCACCAACCTTGGCTTCGAGCTCCCCCCTGTTTCCATACTCCGGGGTCCACCGTGCATCAATGGCGGACACAGTCTCACCAGTATCTCGGTTGATGAGCACAGGCGTAAATCGGTCGCTGGCCATCTCCCTGATGAGATTGCTGTTCGACTCAACTCGGCGTCGGCCCTGGGCCAGCCGGTTCGTGACAGCGTCAAGCGCATAGTCACCCGGAGGATACATGGCACCCTGGAACACATTGTCATCGTTGATGTTCGGGTCCATGACCCTGGCTAGCCCATCGGCAATGGATCGAAGGTGTTCGGCATTCTCAACTCCCGTGGCGCCCTTCGCCACTTCCGCGATATGCGCCTTCATTTTAGCAGCCTGTTCACGTCGAGCCTCAGTTTCACTGACTTGGCTCTCGAAGTGCGCATAGCCTTGGCGACCCTCGGCAGTAGGTCCCGCGGCTTCCACACCACTGAACGGCTTTGGCTTCTTCATCGCAGATAGCGGGATCGTCGGCACGGCAGGTGGTCGTGCAGCGTCCCGATTGGCGGCGACTGTTCGCTCTGCATCCCGGGGAGTAGGCAAGTTCTCGAATGCTTCAGTCATTCCTTCGAGAAGCTCATTGAACTCCTCATCGGATTCCTCCTTCTTGACCTCAGGCATCGCTGCATCGCCATCCCCTTGCTGTCCGTCGCCATCGGAGCTATCGCTAGACTCTTCATCGTTCGTAGCAGCCGGAGCAAGGCCGGGCGACACCGGCATTGCCTGGCCAGGCACAGGAGTAGCGGGCAGCTCAATCGGATCCGGATGACGAATACCCGGCAGATCAGCCAAAGTCGTCTGTTCCTGTTTGATCGGATTCTCAGGAGCAGTCGGACCTGCATCGTCAGCCATTTCTTCTTCATCTTCGTCATCGAAGCCAAGCTGACTCATGTCAACGGTCTTTGCGGCTCGATGATCGGCGCCGCGATCTGCCCCTTCGATAAGGTCCTGCACTGTGGAGTGCACAATGGCCTTCTCCGTGCCCGTCGACCTTTCTTCCGGAACTGGAGTGCGCGCCCACATCTTATCGTTGGCAATCTGATACTCCCGTCGTGTAGCGTAAGACGGAAATCGTGCGAGAGCCGCAAGTGTAAACATCGAGCAGATACGGGTACACAGGACCCCGATCGTTTTGGACTCATGCATGATGTGATATCCTTTCAGGTATGGTAGTCCTTCCAGGATAGCGTCAAACGACAGGGAGAGGAAGTTGGACCTCCTGATTTCGTCCCAGATCGACCTCATCTCCTCTCTGTATTTCTCGAAGAGAGGGCCAGGAAGAGTCGGAAGGAAACCCATGCTCGGTGACACTGGTCCGCAAAGGGACACCGATCCGTAGATCGTGTTATACTTCTCAAGGGCGTCCCGGGCGGTCACTTTGGCGTATTGTGATCGTGCCATATCGATGTCACCAGTCAGCTTATTCCAGCCTTGGTCCATCTTCCACAACTCGTCTCCTTTCCAGAGGATGAGGATGTGAACGTTCGATGGCGGGACAGATGGGTCACTCCGCATCAGTTCGAGAGTGTCTACCATCTCCTTGAGCTTTTCGCCCTCATCAAACGCCTGTACCCGAACTTCGGACTCAGGGAATCCAAAGCTTGCCAGCGCATTCTTCAGATGGGTGTTCATCTCACCAGCGTGCCAGGATTTGGCAGATCTGAAGGTTAGCAGGCCATCGTGCATGACAACGAATCTCTGCGGCTTGCTGGGTACTGCCGGCTTGATCGTTGGCGGAGCACCTCCAAATGCAATCGTGGATGCCATGGTCGCGACCGTTCTGATCCCGTGAATCGAGACAGCCACAAGGGCATCGGCTGGGCTCCAAATAGGCGCGCCAATGATATCCGTCGTATTTTCTTCATCGTATACGATACCCTTGATATTCTTGGCGGGCGTGTAGCCGAAGTTGCCGAGCAGAGCACCGTATGCCTTTCGGTAGTGCCTGCACCATGCCTCCCACTCTTTGGAGGGTCCTCCGGCAATTGTCTCGAGCTTTGTAGGCTTTGGCAAACCTTGGCTGCCTTCCTCACCCAGGATGGGTGCACGCAACTGAAAGAAAGGAGCAAGCTCGATTCGGTAGCTAGAGGACTGGAGCTCGGATAGCAATGCATACCTTCCACCGACAGTGGCTTGCTCGCTCGTCCCGTACGAGTCGGGCATCCAGTGATTGCGTCGAAGCACTATCGGGTTGACGGTGATTCGCTCCGTTGCCTCACCACCACCCGCCGCAGCCTGATCATCGGCCGCGGTCGCTACAGGCTGCTCCGTCTCGGTAGATGCAGCCTGTTGGGTAGTGTTGCCCCCCTGAATCGTTAGGTCGGCAAACTCAACATTGTCGCGCGCGACACTGTCTCCCAGCAGCTTCAGAATGCGAGGATCGATCGGGCTCGCCTCCATCCACGGGTGCCAGGCCACGGCTTTCGTCCCATCGGCACTGAGGAATCGGTGTCCGTGGACGACGTAGTTCGGGGAAGTAGAAACCCCTTGCTCGCGGTCATCCAAGAGGCGGAAGGGCCTGAACGCGATTCCGCACAGCTCGAGAAATCGAGTTCCTACGCGGATCTGCTTCTGGGATCCCCCCAGCTTCTTTGTCGTGCGACTGTGGCTGTTCACCATAGTTCGGGAGACGCAGATCATCACCTGGAACCAGTAGCCTCCGCCGAGGTACGTGCCAGATGCATAGCTACCAGCAGCCTCGGGGGCGTGTCCAGTCACCCAGACGCAGGGTTCGTGACTTCCATGATCGTCCGTCACGTAATCCTCCCCGAATAGACCTCCGTGTGCAAGGATCGACCAGACGTATCGGAGATTCGTTCCGTGAAGGAACGTTTCCTGAGGATCGTATATGTCCGAATTCATCGCTGGGACATACACCCATCCGTCAGTCGGGCGGATGGTGATCTGTGACGCACCGTCCTCGTAGGTCATTTGGGCGCTGGCTCCCCAATTGAGCGTATCATCGATGCTGACGCATCGCCCGGGGTAGGCCTCAGCCATCGCCTTCATGAACGAGACCCACCCGCGCATCAGCGGGTTATTTTCATCGTCGTCTTCATTGCGAAAGGCGGCCACTTCACCAATCCCGTTCGCATCCACGGCAGGAAGATCGTAGCCGTGTTCCTTGCGATCATTCTCGAGGTGAGTCGCCTGCTCTTTCAGAGAATTCAGCGTGGGAAATCGGTTAAGGGCCTTGATTGCCAGAAACGCTCCAGGGATGAAAGAAAGTGTCGGCCTGAGCTGCAGAAATCCCTTGAAGAACTTCGCGGCTTCAGCCGGGTTGACCACATCCCTTGACAACTCAATGGGCGACAGCTTGGTGAGGTCGTTGTGTTTGATACTCGTATCGGTCCTCAACCATCGCTGTTCCGCAGTCGAACTGCTGTATCCCATGAGATTTCGATTCCAACTCGCAAGAGGCGACGGAATGTAACAGGTTCCCATGAGACGGAGCGTATCGTTGCTCAGTGTCTCTCGAGACCCCTTAAAGGTTTGCGCTTGGAAGTGCATACAGTGGCGAGCCAGTGCCATCGTAAGGTCCATTTTCTCGCGGACCCCTGCGGCATCACCGGACAACGTTGCCACTCGGGAAAATGCAAGAGCGCACATCACCCTGTATCGGTCGATGAAGTCCATAAACTCTCGGGGGTACTGCTTCCTCTGCTTATCCGCAAGCGGATGATTAGAGAGGAGGAAGGAGTCAACTAGTTGATGCAGCTTTTGGTCGAAACCAGAGTTGCATGCCAGCTGTTCGAGGCGCTGCCAAATTGAGGCCTGTGGGATCTCTTGGACCCCGATCTTCAGCATCATTGCTTTCATCCTCAATCCTATCGGAACGTCCTCGGAGCTGTTCCCACCCCCAGTAGACTCATCTCTCGGGGTCTGAATCGGGACTGGGGCTTCATCGGCGCCCATGTTGGCGTCATCCTGCTCCGTAGGGATCGGCGGAGCAGGAGGCCTTTCCGTAGTTGGCGCAATCGGGCCGCTCGGAAGGCCTTCCCCGCAAGGCGAGGGAGATTTCGGCTGAGGTGATCGGGCAGCCGGTGTCTTGGCGGCAGCCTTCTTCGGTGGCTGCTTGTTCTTTCCTCCCATCGTTCAGCAGCGGCGGCAGCGCGGAGAAGTTCGCAGCCCGTGGCAGCTACAACCTGTCCTAGCAGGGAGCGCAAGTGGGCTATGGACTGAGTCGTAGTAGAGGTGGTCTGTGATGGTCGGTTGACGAAGGTGATCCATGATCGTTGCCCTTAGAGCTCCTTACCAAGCTATAGTCAAGTGTGAGTGTGTAAGTATGTGCATGGCCTTGGCGTCTTTGTTTAAGCAATCGGCAACGCGGATTGCTGTGAGCCAAAAACCGCAGAATTCATGAAATGTTCTAGCACAGCCCACAATGCAAATCGAAGCTCTTTCGGGTCGACCCTTTTGGCCTTCTTGTGATTGCATGCAAGGGCAGGCATGAAAATCTCGCACATCCACGCATGCTGAGAACATCGACCAGAGCAGCACGAACATAGCTTAACTGGGCAAAGCTCGTGCGATTCAGACCATCGTCTTATGTACTCCCTACCCCACAATGGGTTTCCCTTCGGTACCACAAGGAATGCAGGGATTCCAGATGACCGGGCAGCGGAAGCACACCCGAGTAATTTCTTGGCTTCCCATCCTTTTTCTTTGAGGTCGCCCCTCATTTCTTTCCAACCCCTGCTCTTGAAACCGGCTTCTCTTTTGTTAGCGGTGCCAGCAATCGGAACAGTAACAATACATACCGCAGGCGTAGGCGGAACCCTGATGTTCGAAATAGCAATCCCCTTTGCATTATCGTCGAGACTGAGATTGATACTTCGAGCATGAGGGAATCGGATTATGCCTTCGCCTCCGATATGAATACATTTTATGGCTGCTCCGAATTGGTGAGCATCATCAATTGAAATACCCCCCTGACGAGACATGTCGAGGATGAAATCGTTGAAGGGACTGTGCCCAGTTTCAAGATGTACCCCCCTGGTTGGACAGACAGAGGGGAGAGCAGAGAGAGCGGGAGCGGCAGACAGCATACCAGAGGAAATAAGAGTACCTTTACGAAAATGACCAATAGACATAAGGTTGCGACCCCACACTTTAGCATCAGTGCAGGCCTTGGTCAGGATATCACCAGCCTCAAACTGAGAGGGACACGTCACAAACAGAAAGTCACCAGCGTGGTAGCGTTCATTCAACGCAGAAATATCGATACGCTGGGTACGAGACATATGACGCATATTAGGATTGTGACCAGTGATAATGACTCGGATGGCAGCTTCATTGTCTTCCATGACACGCAAACGGAAGCGACGGCCCAACATATACTCCCACATGGAGAGAGCGGGCAATCCCAGTTTATAGACGGCGTGATCAAGGGAGACAATTTCGGCTTCGGGAGTAGACTTCGACACAGAAGTCTGCTTCTTGGACAGCGCATTAAGAGGCATAAAGCTACGCGGGCCAAGAAGACACATGAATACACCAGACGTGCTCTTGGAATCAGTGCGGTCGCCCGCAAGATCAGCATCGCAATAGAGCACAAGCTCCAACATCTCGGGCGCATCACCAATCCAACCATATAAATTGAGATCGAGGGTGGAATTGATATAACACACCAAACGATGAAGCTTCTTGTCACACAAACCATCCCACTTGGTGATGAGACTAGCAAGTGCCTGCACAGGACGGATGAGATCGTACCGTCCCATACGAGCACCATACAAGATTTTCATCAGGACAGCGGCAGCGCAGTCACCGAGAACGCCCTTACCAGGAGGCACAGGCGTATCGGTGGGATGGCCCAACAAGCGGTTCACCTCGGGACGATCCGGATTAGTATCGAACTCCGGTCGTGACTCATCGAGAAACGGCGTGTCAGCCGACCGCAAATCAAAGCAAAGCAAGCGGTGCAAAGCAGGACAATCAGAGATTAAAACCGTAAGTTTGACGCTCAGCGGAAAGGCAACACTAGAACCCCCAGGCGCTAGCGGACCTTTTGCTGGACCTGACGCAGGGTCGGTCTTGAGCAGTCAAGCTGCGTAGTGAGACAAAGTTGGTCTGATTCCTAACCAGAAGGCAGAAGCACATATTCGCATGTCAGTGACAAATCACACTAAGTATCAGTGTTTTCGACAACATCGAGCTATGCATCAAAATCATCTGATGCTTGCCCCATCCTCGGGCCGCGTGTCTGCATATTGATTTAAACATAGAGGAATATGCAATGTACAGGTTTGTGTGCGTGTGTTCATACATACCTACGTACACATACACATGCACATACACATACTCATACACAGATAGACACAGCCACAGACACAAATACATATACATTTACATTTACATATGCATATACAGTATCTAAATACATATATACATATATATTCTATGTATTGTATATTTACAGAAAACTGCACAAAGACATGCTTCACTATATGCTACGACAGAAAGAACACTCAGACTTTGCCATGCCACCGAAATTTGCAATGTCAGCCGAAAGCAACTGCGTCCATGACGGAAGAAGCTTTAGCCTCTCAAAGGTCAGGAACAGCGTGCCCATGCATATGGGTATATATATATATATATATATATACATTTACTTGTTTATTGTTTATATCATAAATATACGTTTATGTATACACACATGCATGTACAGATGATGTGTATCTTCTGTATTACCCGCTGCCCTACGTCGATTTCGTCTGGCCTCTGGAAGAAGCTCCCCCTTTGCTAACGCCTTAGGACTAGGACGAGAAAATGCGCATCATCCGATTAGAAGGCCTAATAGCAAGCCTGAAAGCCTTCGTGATAATTTCACGTCTGTGCCACTGACAGATGCGCCCGCTCGGCGCCAGCCGGCAACCTGCACAGAGCCCAATGCACAAATCCCCCAAAAAGATCACAGCACAAACAGTTCAACCGCTCAGCTTGCGGCGAGTGCAGCGAAACTTCTTGGCATGGCGAAGACTGAGAACCTACGGGGAACGGGGACACGATGGTAATCAGGAAAATGACTCACGTGTCACTTCCACGTCCACAGTAGTCTGCTGAGATGGAAACTGATTGCTGACGAAGGCATCTTCTGTTTCATTTGGCCTTCACCCGCGCAAATCACCCAGTGGTCGCGGATGAAAAACTTAAACATGACCATGGAGATTTGAGCTTTACATAACATGATAATAAAGCGGAGTCCTCCACTCAGTGGTGTCGACGAACTCAGAGTTCCAAGCCGGGAGTGGCTGGACCTCATGGAAGCAGCATCACGGGAACTGTAGCCCAACTGCAGGATGTCTAAGACCGGGGATGTCAGTCAAACTCGATGCTTGGCTGCATAGTCTTCCGATCTGATGCGTAGCGAGCGGCATACTGGTCCCGCAAGGCCTTCCACTGAGCGTCCACCTGGACGAAGTGAAGGAACGCACCGAAACGGAGCAGCTAAGCCAGGCACCTCTGATACATCGGGAGGCTCAATCGGCGGGAGGGGCTCGCCTGCGAACTGCTGTGCATTTGCCTAAATCTTGTCGCATTTCATGAAACTCCCACACCCCCGTCAAATCCTGAGTCCCAAACGTGGTTTGTATGCAGTAACCAATTCCGGCTGAACAGGTTCGTTCTGTTTCTTCTTGTCCTGTCGGGATCCGTATCACCATGCCGCATTATCATCTTCAGGTGAAGACAAGATTGTGCGCGAGTCTGTCGGAATTCCATGCTGTCCTTCTTGGGAGCCATTCGTTGAGAGTTCAAGCCTGGGCAAGAGTGCAAGGCTCTGTCAAAGGCTAGGCCTTGCTTCCATGTCCTTGGGCTTCGGCAGGATTCATGGGGCCAACATATCCGCAACCACACGAATATTATCTCCAGATACGCAGAGCTGCTGTCTGGTGTTTAATGCACAACTTGTGCCTTCGGTTGCAAAGACGTCATGTACACCCGGCTAAGGCGCCTGTCCAACCATGAGATGTGCTGGGCCTGTGCCGAAAGAGGAAGCTACGACGTGATCAGAATATCGAGTGCGCACGGGCACAAGCACCACTGTTGTAGTTTTCACTTTTTGGAGATGCTCCTGATGGAAATGCTGGTGCATGCGAGGCGACAAACGCTCGACCAGCATGGAACATCACAGAAATCAGAACCATCCAGCAAGGCAATCGCGCATGTCGCCCGCACCGTAGAGTGAAACCAAAAGAGTCTGTGGGATGCAACGAGTCCTAGCACCTAAGCGACCAACTTCTGTCAGTTTTAGGGTTGGCATCAGCTTTGCCGACGACCTTTCTGACGATGACTCCAACCGTTACAGACAAACAACTGCGACCGAAAAAACGCTGCAATCATAGGCAGCCTGCACACTGGGCAACTGACGCACAGTGGCGCGAGACCCTTTGTCAACTTATGTCACCGCTACCCAAAATCGCACGTGCGAAGGTCAGAGCTGGACACGGGATCACTCTTCAGGGGGCTTGGCCTGGAATGTCTCTACAGATGCCGAACTTGCGCAGCTGCACTTCTCACCAATTCACCAATGCATCGAAGAACTACAACAGTCTCGCGACAGCCAATCACACGTGGTTTGCGCGGCCTTCTGTCCGCTGGGATTGGACGTCTCCAAGTTTTCCAGCACCACCTGGTCCAACATCCACGACACATGGCAAACAATAAAGACAGGCAGCCACAATCGGAAAGATGCTAATCCTGCACGATTAATGCGAAATCCTCTCGGCATGACAGAATCACTGGCTACTAGCAGAATAGCTAGTGCTGAGCCAATCTTGGGGCAGCATATCATGCACGATGCCGTGTGCATGCGAGCTCGTGTGCGTTTGTTTGTGTGTGTGCTGCTCCTCGGATTCCACACAAAGCAAGCCAAAAGCTTGCACAAACTGTCCCAAACTCGGCCAGATGGTGATGTACTGAAAACATACAGCTGCATGACCTCATCTTGAAATCGACACTGAAGCTCGTGCCTTGTGCGCTGCGGCTATTCGATCTTGCAGGTAGGGTGAGCCTGGACACTCCTTGCACATTGTCGGCAAATGGACTCACGTTCCACACACACAAGCATACGCATCATCACAGAATTCCTCCGAAGGAGCGTTCAAGGAGTGCAATGTCTGGAAGCGCTCCTGGAATCGTGGACTCCGGCATCATGAAGTCTAAGCGAAGAAAGCAACTCAATAGTCCAATAACATTTTATGTGCTCGCTTTGGCTATGTGCTAAAAGCAGGATGATTGTATGCCGATGACAAATCTCTGCGACAACACCTGATATGATGGCAAAGGTGCCATGACATCTCCGAAAGTCTTGCTGGTGCGTGAATCTGTCGGAACATATTCCGGTCACGCCCACTGTTAAATCAGCATTTGAAAAACCTCTACGTTGTGGTTGCCTCGATCTTTGAACGGCTTGTTACACCATCTGCATCCAAGACCTCCGGGCCGGCAAGCGGTTCAGAAAGTTCACCAGAGCAAACCAGCAATTGAACCGGGCCTTTTTTGCCTCATCCAAGGACATTCGCCGCCTGGCAATCTTCTGTGCTGCGGCCGCGGCAGCTCCTCGTCCAGCTGCTGCTTCCTGCAAATCTATAGCTCCGGCTGATAGTGCTTTATGCAGCCAATCATATAGTGCTTGACCCATCCAATTATCAATTCTCACACGAACCCGGCCTTGTATGCTTCCAGTACCTGTTCAGATTGAGCAGCTGCGTATAACTTGCCTGTCCGTGCCAGGGGCATCACTACAGGGGCACTGCCCGTCCGATTGCTCCACCAGCAACCATTCCAATCCGAGCCTGGGCGATAGATCGTGTTCCAGACCTTGCTTGCCTGCCCTCCTTCCAACCAACCGAGCAACGAGAATTCTGACGAATGGGCCAAAAGCCATCGTGATGAATCCGACGAAGAGTTTATTGTCATGCAATGAATGCATCCGAACTCCCAAATCACACACTTAGTGTTTTCAGACAATCGGTTGGTTCTCTATGTGTTTGCCTTCTTGACGATGCCAAGCTTGATCCGGGCCCACGACATGCAGACAAACACACACTAACGAAACACGGCATCACTGCATTTGGCCGGACGGAAACTGCACTCCTGCATGCAGGAACAAAAACAAAACCGGCACAATTTCCCGAATAAAATTCCAACACTGATGCATGCAGCTTAAACGAACTGGCAGCAGCTCAGCGTTTACCTCCGCCACAATTGAATGAACAGTAGCATTCCAATGTGTGCAAGCCCTGACAGAATGAAAACACATAACCGTTCAGCCTCCAGCAGTTGGATCGGAAATGTGTTCAAAACCTATGGGATAGAAGGGTTTAGGGCTCAAAATTCACAAGGTGACCAGGTACAGCTGTCTGCACTGCTGAAGGATGAAACGGGGCCTTTAGGGATGTGAAGCACAAAAAAACATCATTTTTTCGCTTTTTTTGCCGCATATATTCGATGTCTGAAACTCTAAGCCGTCTTTATTTGTAAAAAAATAAAGGCGAATTTCTGAACAACTGAAGTGTGATTTGACAAGAATCTTGACACAAAGCTTCGACTCAGAATCCAACGGTTGGACCAAGCGTGGGCTTTAGGTTTCTTTTCGGGTTGCCCACACTTGGTCCAACGGTTGGACCAAGTGTGGCAGCGGGGATTTCCAGGTTGGACCAAGTGTGGACATCTTTAAGTTTGTTCAGGGTTGTCCACACTCGATCCGATCCAACGGTTGGACCAAGTGTGGGCTTCAGGTTCTGTTTTTTGAGGCTGTCCACACTTGGTCCAACACTCGGACAAGTGTTCGGGAGTTGGAGCATGAACATGCGCTTTGCAAAGAGGTGGTACGAGTGCTTCTAAATCTGCTCCGCTCCGGGATTCCAGCGTCTACCCCAAGAAAACTGAACACGCAATCACGAACAAAAAACCAGAACCACAAACTCAAACAAAACACAATTACGAAGACAAAAGAACAAAAAGCCAAACTTGATCGTTCGCTGGCTTCGCGAACAAAATAAAATGGAAGAAGAAGAATTCACGAAAATCGACAATCACGAACACAAAAGAAGAAGAAGCCCCACGAGATCGGTTTTTGCAAAGAAATTAAATGAGAAGACAAAAATAAATGCAATAAAACGCAGTCGAAACACGAAAAATTTCGCGAAAACAAACCATCAATGAAACAAAAACGCAATCACAAACATTGAACTTTTCAATTCAAAGTCAGAAATTCCAGATTTTGGAGTGGGAGTTAATCTCATCCAAATCGGGAGTTGGAATAAGCAAACGCGGGCGCTGCAGCAATGGTCCACATTGGACTGCCAGTCTGCGAGTTCCAGACAAAGCGCTTCCCGTTTGCAGAGCCAACGTGAGTGCTCGGGGGCTGCATCCAGCGACCCTTCGGCGAAGGGGGCTTGGGGGGGGGGCGGAAAGGAGGAAGGCTTCGAAGGATTTGAAGGGGAGGACGAGGGTTCGAAGGCTTCGAAGGGTGGGGACGAAGGCTTCGAATGCTTCGAAGGGTGGGGATGAAGGAGTAAAACGCTTTACGGGTACGTTCCAAACCCTTTCACTGAACACTGATATTCGCTCGTCACTTTTCCTTGGGAGCACGGACTGTCTCGGGTGCTTCCCTTGAGCCTAAACACCACAGTGGAACATTTGTTCCAAGCTATACAAAACTCGTGGCAAACAGCTCAACTACAGGATAACAGGGCAACACACTCCTAAGCGAAATGTTTGTTACCCCCTCTTCGTTGCAGCCTCTTTCCTCTTTTCCTTTCCTAGAGGTGCTACGAACCCAAAACAGTCGCTCACTTCTCTTTTAAACACGTCGTGGTGCACTGCTTCGTGTTTTGTGAAACGTCAGAGACAAGAGCTACACTTACGGCCGCTCTCACTAAGCTCTTTACTTCGTTTCACTTCTTTGGCTTTCGCCACAAAAGAACTCACTCCTCGGCAGCTGTGCTGCAAACTTCCTTGGCCGCTGTGCTGCAAAACTCTTTGAGGATGCTTTACCCCCTCTTCTTCAAATCCCTCTTTCTTTATAGACCCGAGGATTGCTCTCTCTCTCTTTTCCCGCCTCCTTGTTTATAGACCTGAGGTACGGTCTTTCTCTTCTCCTGCCTCCTTGTTTATAGACCTGAGGTACGGTCTCTCTCTTTTCTCCCTCCTTGTTTATAGACCTGAGGTACGGTCTCTTTCTTCTCCTTTTTTTCTCTTTTTTCCTTTCAACTCTTTTGCTCTTTCTTTCCCTTTCCACTTCCTTTGGGATTGCCCGTTCTGTACTTCTTCTTCGAAGCTTCTAGTCGATTGGCGTAAGCACGCCTCACGACAGGCTCGTTCTTGCGAAACCAAATCGCAAAATCCTCTTTTGACATACCATCTCTTTGGCATATCGGCTGGTACTGTCCGTTGACGTAGTTAAAGTCGCCGTCCCAGCAAACATCTGCTGAATGCCCGAATCTCGAGCAAAGAGAGCAAACGACCGGTGCGGTCGCTGCCTCTGGATCCTCCTCTACGCGCTCACGTTCTCTCATCTTTTCGATCTCCTCTTCCAGCTTTTGGTTTCCTTTTTCTCAGTGAGGCGCAGCACTTACGCTCTTTCTCTTCGTGAGCTTCCACAACTCTTCGCTCAACTCGTTCACTTCTTTTTCCTTTGCTGCCTTGAGCTCTGCAAGCTCCTTCTCCTTTTGCTCTTTGAGCTCTGTAAGCTCTTTCTCCTTTTTCTCTACTTGAGGAAAAACAGAGTCCCACAACCCTCATTTCTTGAGCCATGATTTCGCACGGGAGTAGAGATCTCAAGTGAAACTGCAGACAAAGAGTATGACTGTAAAACACATGTGAAATACAAGTAAAATGGTGGGCACGCGTGCAGGAAAACTTTCTTCACCCCGCCTCGGTGAGATGCGCTGAGCATCGACACCGATCGAAAGTTTGCCACACCATAAAACAAAGTACACTAGTTCACGATGGTCTGCATTCGTAGTGTTCGGAGATAGTTACGCCACAAGCGGTAGTTACGCTACGTATGTACGATATTGGGCTCATATCTACACGGTTTCAGCTACGACTGTACAGCAGCTCTACGCAATCTCTGTATACCAAGCT